ATAAATAATATTGGAAGAAGAGCATAGAGTCTATATAGAAATACAATTTACAGAAAATTCGGAATTAAAAAAAAGAAATATTAAAAGACGAGTCTAGAGTCCATATATGAATATATATAATTTACAAATAACTAAAATTTGATATTAAAAATAATTAATAACTAACACGTATATAAAATACAATATGAATATTACACATTAGTAGTTTTGTAAAGTTATTGCAAAATTTAAAATTATGATGTCATTGTAATATATTTAAATAATATAATGAGAAAACATATATGCTATTATATGAGAGAAAATATAATGATGCTAGCCGCGCAATCTGCGCGGGCACCATGCTAGTTTTTATAATAATATTATGTTTGAAGCATGTGGTATAAAGGGCGTTCTCGTTTTTTTTAAGAATTTATCGTTCTAATTGAGACAAAAATATCCTTCAACAAATCACCAATTTTTTAACTATCTTTTGGTTGTAACACTTTCTCACGATGTCTCAAATTGTATAGATTTTGGGTGACCCGCAACAAAATTTGTCAAATATAGGAGTATATTGTGAAGAGCTTCGTCTTGCTTGCACTTGCAGAGAGTTTCAGGCGTACGTACAGTCTGCAGGTCTGCATTGCCTCCGGCAGCAACAGAAGCCGAGGAAGCGAAAGCAGCCATGGGCTGTCGCGTCGAGGAGCCCTACAAACAAACCGTGCGCCCGCGGCGGCAGGCGGCGGCAGCGGCAGAGGCCCGGCCAACACGAGCACGGGCCACCAGCCACAGCACCAGTACGTACTACTAGTACACCACCACCACCCTACCCACCCCTGCACGAACGGCGACACGCACCGCACGGCCGCACGCACGCACCGCGCGCGGCGGACAAGCAAAGCACAAGCGGCAGCACAGGGCCGGCCAGCCTCGTGAGCCCTAGCCAGTACTAGTACTCCTCCAGTAGCCAGTAGTAGTATCATGTCCGCCCATGCACCTCCGCATCTCTGATCACCTCGATCTCACCATTTGCTCGAGTGAGCCAGGCAGCAGCGTCGCACCGCACACTGGACGTCGGCACGCTCTGCACCACAAGCAGCACCAGCAGACAGATCACACAGATGGGAAGGCCGACGTGCAGATTGTGTTGTGTGAGAGAGAGCTCTTTCTTCTCCGTGCATGTGCCTGAGGAGAAATCTTTTGCTTGTCACTGCTGCTGTGCCACGGCCACGGGAGACGGGACCGACGCGTATCCGGCTTCAATTCCATCACGCACTGGTACGTGTGGATGGAGTCGTCAATCAATATCAAATCAATCAGTTCGTGCGTGCGTGCTTCCATACATCTCGTCCGTCCTGCCTCACAGGACAAACACACTGCAATACGGAGTATTCAGCTCACGAAAAAACTGTGGTTTGCTGCTGTATGAAGAACAAAATTAAATACGCCCACGTGTGTGTGAAATCCGCCGCTGCAGTAGTGCAGTACTCCCGGCCGCACCGCGTACAGTACGTACTACAGGTACGCTGCGTGTGTAAGTATCCATGAATATCCGCCATTGGATCCTGGCGCTCGTACCCAACGTACCAGATGACACGTCCCTGTGCTGCTGCGAACATGTGATTATGAAGCAATTCCATTTCCACAGTGATTATGAAAATAATCCCATTAGAAACGGAGGAGAAGTCCACATGGCACTGTGGATTTACGTCTACGGAGTACTTCAGCTAGAGGTGAGGTGAGGCGGAAAAGGAGATTCACCGAACGAAATGAATCAACCGAGGAATAACCCGGCTTACGTGCGAGCGTTCCTTGCATGCGTGCACTGGATTCGGGGATTCGGCCGATCCGCGAGCACGGCACGACTTGTTTCGTCGCGCGCGAGGCTGGCGGATTCGCGGGTCGATTCGCCGGCGCGCACAGGAGTGGAGTGGAGAGTAATGTGTCGATCGAGTGGCCTCGGAAGTTGGGGCTACAGATAGAAGAGAGGGGTAGCTTGCAGAAAACCAGGACGGATTTATGCATGCAGAGCCTCCGTCACGTCGTCGATCGGCAATGCACCATTGATGCGAGGTGAAGGTCGGGTTGGTGGCAATCATGGCCCTGTAGCAATGGGCGCCGCAGAGATCAGATGGTCGGAGTTGAGTGACAGATATTCTTTCTCCGTCGATCTCTATCCATGCTGCTGCTGCTGCCTGCACGCATGCATACAGTGTTCGTTCCTACTCTCAGCTCTCGTCTCCTCCTGCTCATGCATGATGCGCGGCTATATGGCTGGAGTAGAGTACCTAGGTATAGCACGGTGCACAGCTCTAGCTTTAGCTAGCGACATGTTGGATCGAATCTGGCCTGTTTGGTTTGCAGGGACTTACTCTCTAAGTCTCTTTCATATCGAATGTTTAGAAACTAATTTAAAGTATTAAACATACACTAATTATAAAACCTATTTCATAACCTTGGACTAATCCGCGAGATGAATCTTTTGAGTCTAATTATGCTATGATTTTGACAATGGGATGCTACATTAAACTTTTGATAATTATAGATTAATTAGGCTTAAAAAATTCGTCTTGCGGATTAACTCTCATTTATGGAATTAGTTTTTTTATTAGTATATATTTAATACTTCAAATTAGCATCCAAACATCTGATGTGACATGGGCTAAAAAGTTTTAGCCCCATCTAAACACCCTAGCTCAGCTCTGACATGGAAGATCTTCCCAACAGTTATCAACGCCAACAACAGATCGTATTCTGCGTTGCGTTGCGTGTGCATGCTACTCGATGGGAGTACTATATACTCCTATATTAAGGCTGTGTTCAGAGGCAACATATCCTATACACACCGGCCCTCACGTGTACACACGTGCACATCAACTAAAAAATGTCACCAAAAAATCTAGAAAAAATCATACACATACTTTCAATTGTATTACACCTAGGGTTAAAATCTTAACGTCAAATTCATTATATTTTAGCCGTAACAAAAAAACAAAAAATCTGACAGTTTTAAGGTTGCAATTTTGTCAGAATTTTATCTTTTTTGTTATTCTCTATGTAGAATGAATTTGAAGATGCGACTTTGCACGTAGATGTAATACTATTGAAAGTACATGTATGAATTTTCTTAGAATTTTTTGTAATAATTTTTAGTTGGTGTACACGACGCGAGGGCCTGTGTGCATAGGATACGCTCCCGTGTTTAGATTAGAGGTGTAAAGTTTTAATGTGTTATAGCAGATATACGAACGCATATTTGAAATATTAAATATAGACTAATAACAAAACAAATTACAGAATCCGTCTGTAAACTGCGAGATGAATTTATTAAGCCTAGTTAATCCGTCATTAGCAAATATTTACTGTATCACCACATTATCATATCATGGAGCAATTAGGCTTAAAAGATTCGGCTCGCAATTTACATGCAGTCTGTATAATTAATTATTATTTTTATTTATATTTAATACTCTATACATATGTCTAAACATTCGATGCGACAGTGTAAAAATTTTACCAGGAGATCTACACAGGGCCTAACCCCAGCTACTGATCTGATCAGCTAAACGAAGTTGATCTCCAGGCTGCTTAGATTAGACTGTTTTGTGTTTGTATCCCTCTAAAGTGCGGAGGAAGTGATTCCATTCCGTGGATAGCTAGGCCTTGCGCGCAAGCGACGCGAAGCCGCGAACGAACTGAAGCCAACCTGGATTAAGTTGAGGGCAGCTAGAAAGCGTCAAGGCCTGCAGCCCATCGGAGAGGCCAGCATACAGATGCTTATCAGATTACGCCGCCTTTGTTTATGTTATGCAGATGTGCTAATCAATTGCTCCCCAAAACAACGAAAGCGAAAGGGAGCGAGCGAGATGAGATGCTGCATGCTCATGCTTAATTATATACTCCTACTCCTAACAAGAGAGGGACCATGTAGGTACGTACGTACAGCTGACAGTTGTTTGTACCTGCTGGTTGCTGGATTCCTTTGAGGCTTAATCAACCAGCAGGGGGTGATTAAAAATAATCTGAAGTGTCCAAAGAGAAAGGAAAGAAACAAACATCAGTAGCTGCATAGTAGCATGTATAGCAAGGGGTAGTAGAAAGGAGGAGAGGGAGAGGCAGAAAGGAGAGGGAGGCAGGGGAAAGCGCGGTGTCCCCGTGGCGTCGCGGGCGCGGGGGGCACGGCGGCAGCAGAACGTGTGCAGCGTCGTCCCCACGGCCACATGCTGTCGTGTCGTGTCGCCTCGCATATCGCCTTCGGTCGTTCGTTCGTCCCCCACACCTCCACTTTTCGATCGACCTGCGGCTGGCGCAGGATGCAGTACGAAGCAGTCCAGTCCTTCCTATCCTACCTCGGCGTTCTACTAGTGTCGATCAAGCATCGAAATGGTATACTAATACTACTGCACATGCCCATGGGCCATGGCTTGATGGCTAGATGATGACATTTTTATCTGCGTTGCTCTCATCCACCTCAGTTTTTTGGCGTTTTTGGTGATATAATAAGGGCGAAAAGCACCTTGGTATGTATAATCGGTAATCCCAGACACCTGTGTGTTTCTTTGAACTCGACTTGTCAATTACTATGTATCTGGCTCACACCTAGTGGATTAACAGGTGATGAGTGAGTGGTACATCAAATGATACTGCGAGACATGTGCTGATCTAGAAAAATCGAAAAAAACGGAAGGAAGAAATTAAGAAGCGAGCTAGACATGACGGCTCGGTGATGATCAGGGCCAAATAGCGAGCAAGAAAGTGAACCGGAGGCATAATGGGCCGGCGGGCACTTAGCCTGCTCGGTTGCAGGCCAGTAGTAACGGGCCCCCGCGGTACACGAGAAGAGGCCCAATAACCATGGTTTGACCGTCATGGGTTGCCTTGCAGAGTAAGTTGGTGATGAACTGTTGATCGCCGCTCTCTCTCTCTATCTCAAAGAAAAGGAGAAAGGGTTGGTAGAATGGTAGTGGTCGCTGATCGAGTAGTTCGTACTGTGCACTGCATCGGCATCGCCTGCTACCATTTTTGTCGTCGCGTGACTGGAAATAGAAGCTGGAGGGCAAAGGCTGCGCAACCGCGCCGCGCGGTGAGAAAGAACACCTGTTTGGCAACTGCGCGGTGAAAAAGAAGAAAAAGAAGAAGAAGAAGCCCACATGTTTCTGTTTTGTTTTCTTTTACGTTTGAACGACGCTGCGTGTATGTGACTGGTGTGTGGGCTCCACCACGTACGAGCTGTTGCTCGTCAGTGGGATGACCAGCCAATGCAACGCAAAAGTAGAGAGAGGGGTTTGCGCTGCTACGACGTCGATCTCGTGTATATCATGCAACGCTCCCCTCCTCTTCTTCGTGCAAGGACGCAATAGCTAGAGCCACTTCTCCAGAGAACGAGAGAGAGAGAGAGAAGGCTTAGGTTAGAATGGCTCCCGTTCTCCTGGTGGTGGTCGGCTCGTCGGCGGCGGCGTGGGCCGACGTGCCCGCCGGCAGCCGGGTGCAGGTCGTGCAGGTAGCCTGCGGCGCGAGGCGTCCGGCGACGACGTCGATGGCGGTCCGCTGCGTCGGCCGCGGTGGCGGCAAGACGGGTCCGGTCCTTGGCAAGCCTTCCGACGACGACGACGACGACGTACGTGCATGTATGGATCTCCTCCTTTCCCCTCCTCCTTCTTTACAGGTTTTCGCCTGCACAAAGACGGTCTATGAAGTAGTCGAAGCGTGTTCTTTTCGTGTCTTTTCTTGTGTTCTGCTTGTGCTGTTGTGCATGTCGGCTGTCGCGCGTTTCCTGCGTCAGATCGAACCAAGTATTTGTTTCTTGGGTTCAGGCGTTAAGCAGGTGCGTTTCTTGGGGTTCTTTCTTGTTTCTCCCTGTGCATGACGCGTTCCTGAGCCAGATCGAACCAAGTATGTGTTTCTTGGGTTCAGGCGTTGAGCAGGTGCGTTTCTTGGGGTTCTTTCTTGTTTCTCCCTGTGCATGATGCGTTTGCTGCGTCAGATCGGACCAAGTGTGTGTTTCTTGGGCTCAGGCGTTAAGCAGGTGCGATTCTTGGGGTTCTTTCTCGTTTCTGCTTGTGCGTGTTGCGTTCTTGCATCAGAACGTACATCAGACGTACCGTGCGCATGACATTGTTTTGTTTGCCCCTGTTTGCGTTCTTGCACGAGATCGTGCTTTGCTATGCTCTTGTTTCTCGTTTCTGCTTGCTCGTGTTGCGTTCTTGCACCAAATCGTGCATGTACGACGTACGCACGTTGTTTGCTTCGCTCCTCTATTCCTCTTCTCTTGCCTATCACGCAGGAATCTTTGATCAGTTGATTTCTTGCACGTACACGTACTTACCACCGGTCAGACTCAGATCTGCTCGTTTAATTTTGACCTGTTTATCGACGATCCATCACCTCCGTCCTTATTTTTCCTTGCAAGTTTTGCCTGTGCAAAGTCGGTCTGAAAAGCAGAAGCAGGTGTGTTCTTTTGGAGTATTTCTATTTTCAGCTTTGCTCGTCCGCGTAGCGTCCCTGCACGCACCAGATTCAAGGAGGTGTGTTTCTTGGGGATCTTTCTTTTTGTTTCTGCAAGTGTATGGTTCTTGCACCAAGTCGTGCATGTATGTTGTTTTCTTTGCTCCTGTTCATCGATATTTGGGCCTTTCGTTTGCTGCGAAGCTTGCAGATTTCCTTCTCTTTTTACCGAAGCTGTGGTTCCTTTTTTTTTTCAGAGAAGAAATTAGAAATACAACGGATTCCAGTTGTTCTTGTGAGATATTTTTTAGGATTTTGTTTGTGACGTCCTATTCGATCTTCTGATGCACCAAATCTCTTATTAATTTCCAAGCTACTGCTTTTGTTACTGTTGAAGCTTCAGTTTTTTTCCCTTTCTGAAACGGAAGCTTCAGTTTTCTGGTTGCTTTGAAACTAGTAATAATAGTTTTGATGGCTAATTTGGTCTCTGTTTGCGGCAAATTGCAGACGAAGCTGGTCAAGATCGCCTTCAGGATGGCCGTGGTGACGGCCGTTTTCTTGAGGAGAGTTCAGGCGAATTCCAACTGCGCCGACATGTCTCTGCAGGTGTCGAGCCTGCAAGAGGAGTGCGCCCGTTTCCTGGATTCGTTCGTGGCCGGGGAGGAGATCGCGGGCCACGACGCGGTCCGCATGCTCGTCGGCTGCCATGACAAGCTGACCGTGGTTCTCTCCGCCTACGGCGGCGCCGGCCGGGACGACGTCGACGAGGGACAGGCGCCGCCGGTCGTCGTCCCGCCCGGAGGACAGATCGACACCCACCTCCTCGACTTGTTCCTCATTGGGACCTCCGAGCTACCAACCAACTGGTCTGACAGAGTAAGGACACTGATCGATGATCGATCTGTTGTAGTAGTAGCTTTTGTTGTTGGTTGAGCATTACTACATTACATGTATGGATTAACTTACTGACCGACTGTCTGTGTGCATTGATCGATCGCTTTTGCTTGTGAATTGTGATAGACCCTCGTTGCCCAGCTGACGTGCTCTCTGTACCGGGCAATTGAAGCAGTCACCAAGTTCATCGCCACCACGGAGAAGGGGGTTCCTCTCGAGCAAGCAGATGCAGAGGGGAGGTCTCCTCCACCTCCTGAAGAGGAAGGAGGGAAAGCGTAGATGTTACTCAGTCAGCAGAAAGGAGGAAGGAGTACTTTTTGGGAGGTCATTAGAACTCAGTCAGCAGTAGTAATCATCCTAAGTACGGAGAAGTAGCATTTAGTTCTTCTGATGTTTTGGAACCTTACCATGCTGTTTAGTATTCCTAATTAAGTCCTACTGCTACTATCATGTAGTAACGTGCTATCCGCCGATGGTTATCAAATAACATCATGTGAACTTTGCAACAGCTGCTTCTTTTTAGTAAGTAATAGTTCATTCCCTTTTGTTAAATCTTGATCTTCTTTCTCTGTGGCTTTGCTTAAATTTGCTCGATTTCGTTTAGAAGAAATCAGCCCAACTGATTCTTTTCCTAAATACGAGAGACAGATGATCTTATCTCTAAGCTATTTTCCTGGAGACGAATCGAAGCGAATCCTAGATCCCACGATGATAGTTAGGGCACGGCAACGATGGTATTTATAGATAGGGCACGCACGAAACGGAGGAGACCAAACCAAACCAAACCAAACCAAACCAAACCGAGGTGAAATTGAACCGGCGCTCCCTCGTCTTCCGTCGCCATCGCCGTCGCGTCGCACCCAAGGTATCTGCTTCAATTCAGCCCTGCTTGCTAGCTACCGCTTCACGATCTACACAGATCGAACTGAAACTTGATGAGATTTGTTCAATGTTCATGGCTGACAGGTGACGGGTAATGGGGGCGTGCTACTACTACCAACCCCTCCGGCCGCCGCCGTGCCCTTCCGTTCCTTGCGGCCAAAAGGCACAGCGGCAACCTCTCTTTCGCAGCAGCCATCAGAGTCTGCATGTTGCATCTAAGGCGGCCGGGCTGACCAGCAGCAGCAGTAGATCAAAAGATGTGAAGTTGAGGGCTATCTTACATGAGGACAGTGTTACTGGTGTTAGACCATGGTTTAGCCTGTTCGGAATGTCCTTTTCTGATCTTTATGATCACTTCCCTGAATCTGTCTGGGACATCTGTGAGGATTCCCCTGCCGAAGCTTTTGAGAAGAAGGTAATAGAATTTGTTTTCTCCTTTACAAACTTAAGTGTTCTTAACCATCTTCTTGATTCTTGAGTGCAAATTTCATTTTCATTATATTGTTACTGTCAGTTTTCTTGTCAATAACTCAATACTCATGTTTCAAGCTAAAGCAAAGACTTCCCTTTTTTTTTTAAAAAAAAAGATTAATTGATCATGATTGACAACAACACGGGAGATCTCTACTGTATACAGGTTTAATTTGTTTTTGGCCATATATAGGGTAATTAGGGTACATTTTTCTACTTGCGCATCTTTACTAATTCTAATTCTGAGGATCAGGAGCATAAGGGGTGGATGCAATTTCGGAGTGAAATGAACAGCAGATACAACAAAGCCGTGGACATAAGTTTTGACGATAGGTTTGCTGATTCCATTGTGTTTGACAAAACACTCTACAAGTATGCAATTTTGGGTTGCAAGGTCAATGCGGATGGGATTATGAATCAGGTATTCTCAGCATGTGCAATCACTCATACTTCTCCCTTCCGAAAATATACTGTTTAGTCACCCATTAAATTTATTTACACCAGATGCCACTGTCTTCATGCCTAATGATTTAGTATTGACCAACGATTTATGATAATTTGCCAAAATTGCTTCCTGGATGTGCTAGTTTAGGGCCCGTTGCTATAAATTTCTCTCAAGAGCAAACAAAACACAAGTTTCTTCGTTAAGAAGAAGAGAAATGACATACCATGGTGGTGAACAAACCAAGCACTTAAATAACGATGTTTTTTTTTTGAAACCCTAAATAACGATGTTTTGACAACCGCGTAGATAAAATAATGCCCCTCAACCATGGAAGATCAATATATTAGTATACCTCTATATAGTCTCGTCAATAGGCCTTTTATATATGAGATATCTTACGAAAACATCTGTTGTTGTAGGGTGTTATATCTGCCAGTGAAAGAAATAAAATTATCCATGCTCTTGAAAGGATAGAAGGTGACATTGAGATTGGAAAGTTCAAGTGGAGAGATGGCGCTGATATTCATACAAGCATTGTGGAAGCACTTGCTGATATGATTGGGGACAAAGCGAAGGATCTTGCAGTGGAAAGTAAATATGATAGTTGCCTCATGATACTGGAAACATGGTCCAAAAACTCCATTGATCATATTATGACTCAATTGAAACAACTTCAGGTTTGTTTTCTTTTATCTTTTTAGTTTCATGGTATACTCTAAAACGTTGTTTGGGAAGATATATATGCACTTGATTGTTTAATTATGACCCTTTTTCCTTTGTTCACTCGCTATATTAGATTCATGTTAGTTTTAGCATACATTCGTAGTATGTGGTTCAATTAAAGCTGTATGATGATTTTCTGTTGCAGGTTGCTCTAGTTCTGTTAGCAATAAAAAATGATGGGGTTATCCTTGGTGAGAGAGAGATTGAGGGCACCACATGCCTGGAGAGTCTTCTTCTGCGCATTGTCAAAGTGGTAATTTTCCAACATGGACTCAAGTATCCTTGGCAGCATAGAACCTTTTCTTTTCTCAAACACGCAAGAGAATTGCGTATCATTTCATCAAAGAAGCTTAAAACTGTCTGGTACGTAGATGAACATAATAACAATACTTACTTATTTGGGAGTCTTGGGACTGCACCAAAACCATAGAGATGGGAATGTGCAACCGAATGTACTTCTTAACATAACAGGCCATATCACAATGAATCTGTGTTTGCTGCTCACATAAATATTTCATTACCTATTTATTGCCCATTTCGCCTTGTATTGTATCTAAACCAGTTTTCTGCCCTTTTCATTATATAGCTAGACTATGATGCTTCCAAACTTCGTTCCTATCATGGAAGCATTTCTTGCTCAAATGATGGTGTCATGCTTCTGAGGACCAGGTTTTTGCTGCTACTAGTTTATCATTTTTACGCCCCCAATTTACATCTCCAGCTCTCCCACCCTCTTCAATATTTTGTTCACTTGCTTCTATTAATTATTTATGTGAACAGGGGCATAGTTCTGTATTTTTAATATGTACTTCTATACTCTTTTGATTGAGCCAATTTTATCTTCCATATATGTGTCTCTAAACAAAGAAATGATATCATAGGCTTGATTAATTATTGCACTTTTTGATGGGAGATTAATCTATCTATTAATTTACTAAAGTAATAGAAAAATAAGCCTCCACGTTAGCTCTCGCGACCTAGAAATTCTCATATTAATCGGAGAAAAAGAAAAACGTAATACATATACAAATACTCCTACAATTTAAAATAGCTAAAAATTCAAAACTAAAAATATAAGGAATATTGGAAGAGGAGACTAGAGTCAATACCAACATACAGTTTGGAACTAATGAAAATTAGAAATTAAAAATAAGAAAAATTAAAAGTACAGGTTAGAGTATATAGGAGTACAATTTAGAAATAACTAAAATCCGATATTAAAAATAATTAATAACTATCATGTATATACGAAATATGAATACTACATATTGGTAGTTTGGTAAAGTTAGTACAAAATTTAAAATTATGTTGTCATTTTAATATATTTTAATTAAAAAATATATACTATTTTATGATAGAAAATATATGGATGCTTGCCACGCAATCTGCATGCAGGCTACCATGCTAGTTATTATTATACTAATGGTAGTAATCGTCCTTTTTTTTGGTGTTGCGTTCTCCACTTTTAATCCGATGTTACTTCATAGGAACTTTGACTATTCTAGGGGTTTTTGAAACGCAACTATTTCTAGGTGTTATAAATATTTAACTATGTTGTGCTTGTTATGCTTCATAAACTTGCCCGCCAAGTGCAATCTAAGAAGTTACGCACTTCTAAATTTTAATATATAGCAAGTCATCATGACTAATTTCTAAAAAGAGGGAAAATGTCACATTGTTTGGTTCGTAATGTTTGCTTTAAAATTTTTAAAAAGGAAAACCTATTTTTTTAAATACTTCTAATACCCCATGAGCCCTATAATTTTTTTGCTCATCTTTTACCATCTAAACTATGCAGCTATCCAGAAAATCAGATGTTTTCCAAGCTTTCTTCCATGGCCTCGTTTGCAGAATCAATCAACAATTGCATCCCCAACCATCTAAGGCAACTGCTTGAGAAGGTTTTGTCCAGGAGGAATATACTGTTACTCACACCAAATGGTGAAACAACGATATATGACACAGTCCTATCCAAGTTTGGTTCCATTGAACAGACAAGGCATCATGGAGATGTTGCTATCTCAAAATGTCTAAATATTGGATTTCGAAATGTACGTGAATCACCTCAGACATGTGAAATCGAGGTAAAAATGATCTTAAATTTTTGCCGGGTAAAAATGATCTTAAATTAGCATATTCGTAAAGCGTGTCATCCTACATCATGGTATAGATTGGTTCTAACAAAGTGTGTTTTCTTGGGATAGGACGCTAAGCACTATTTATTTTCTAGCACTAAATCTGTGGTCGAAATTCTCGATCTATCCATACAACTTGTTCTAAGGATCTTGTTTGGCATGGAAAAGGCCCAAAATTCCCTCCCAAGAGGATATCATGATGTTATGAGGTTTACACATTTCCTGACAACGAAGGTGAGAGTTTTGCTTTTTTTTTTATAGGTAACTCCGGTATTTCATTTTATTTTTGCCGTATGCCTTAATTAGCTCGAGTTCATTTGAATCAGGCTTATCATTCTTTCTCACAAAAGAAAGCTAAACATGAGTACTCCATTATGATTTGGAGGAATAATAACGTATTAGTCTCAGCCTTTCCATGCTCTAGCAAATGGTTAATATGTTAATGGTATTTGCAATGAGCAGGGAATCGATTTGGGCACAGCTTATGCCTTGGTCCATCTGTGCTTGGATAAAAAGCTCCAACCTTCGGAGCTCATTCTAGACAAACACGAGCTAAAGCAGATCGATTTTCACTGTGAGCGTGCTCATTACCTCCTGGAATACAAAGGGAGCATCTTTGGTGATTCCACCGATCTGGATGCCTGCAAGAAGATGCTGAAATGGTGTTGCAAACTTCGCATTGATCCTGCTGCGACCATCTCTTCTTGATTCCCACGATTCAATGCACTCAATAGAGAATTAGGGATATTGTGCTATCTCGAACTCATGTTTAATTAGCAACGAATTTGGTAGTCATCACGTTTAATTAGCAAATGTATTCTCATATATCAAGATTGAGTTAGGGTCCTATTATAGTCTAATGGACTTGAAAGTGCATGAACCTGTATTCGTTGTTATGGCATTAGATTATGAATGTGCAAGTTGCCAGTCACATGATAATCTTGATCCCTGTGAAGATCATCCAATACAGCAATAATTAAGTGCACAAAAGTAACTTAAAATCTCTGCGCCCCATCATTTCGCTTATTCGTGGAATTTAAAAATAATCTGTGAAAAACTTTTATATACATATTCTTAGCGATCTAAAAGCAAAGGCTAAAAAATAAACTTCGATGAAAAAAAACCCAAAATCAACTACAAATTTAAGGTTGAAAAATTCAAATTTTAGCTGATAAGCATAAACAAAAAGATGAGGTTGCTACAACATGTACTATTTTTAAAAAGCTGAAACACAACCAAATCACCTCGTGAAACATTTTTCTATAACGTATGAAACAACAGTTTTAAAAAAAAATGGGCGTCATTTCACCCTATATAAAAACAATGTTTCAACAAATAGTGAACGAATGTTTTAATTCACTGCAACATTTGATCCATACATAGTAAAACATCACGAGTATACTTTACTAAAACATTGTTGGTGGAACAAAAAAAATAAAACGGATTTCCTTAATAGAAATGTTTTCGCAATATACGGGTGCTTTGTTGCAACGACGCGTGTGGTGGGGCGCGTGGAAGGGGGGGGGGGGACAACGTGGGAGGCGGCGGGCACCCGACTTTTTTGCCGCTGATTGGGCACCCGATCGCTTGCATTTTCCAAATAATATAGCTTGATCAGTTTTTAGAGAGATAACAGAGAAAATAGCTACAAATTGCAAAAATTGAAATTAACTATAAAATCACAGCTTGATTAAAAACCTATAAAGGCAGAGGTTACAACGGGCGGCACGGCCCAGGCCCGGCCGTGCCTGGGCCGAGGGTAGTCGGGCCGGCACAGCCCGACCTACACACCGGGCCGTGCCGTGCCAGCCCACGGGCCATACACACGGCCCAGGCACGGCCCAAGATGGCTCGGGCCGTGCCGGGCCGGCCCAAAGGCACGACGGCCCATCGTGCTTTTCCACAGAATAAATCTAATTTTTCTCCCTCCTCTTGGGCTGTGACATATATATAGCTAAAAAAAAGTCTATTCCCCCCTCTTCTTTGAGCTGACATATAAATTGCTGAATAAGTCTATTTTTAGGCCCTATATTTTGGACCGTGACATTAATATGTCTATTTTTAGTCCCTATACTTTGTGTACCGGGCCTGGCCTGCCGGCCCATCGTGCCGAGTCAGCCCAGCGTACCGGTGGGGAGGTCCAGGCACGGGCCCAACCCAAGTCGGGCCGTACCGTGCTTGGGCCGGGCCGTGGTCCGGGCCTCGGGCCTTATGGCCATCCATACCTCCGTGAAACAAATTGAAGAGGAAGCTCATCAAGATAGTAATCAGGCTTAGATGACGGCCCGTCTGCTGGAGAGAGTTCATGCGAGGCCGCTCGGGTGCACCGACAGCGACAAGCTGGAGATGTCTCTGCAGCTGACGAGCGTGCGCGAGCAGTGCGCCCGTCTCCTGGAGGCGGTGGAGGCAGGGGAGATCGCCGGCCACGCCGCCGCGGCCCGCCTCTTCGGCAGCTACCACTCCAAGCTGCGCGTGCTTCTCGCCGTCCACGGCGGCGGCCACCTCGACGCCGCCGCCGCTCGCCGTCCCGCCGCCCGGTGGACAGATCGATCGCCGCCTCCTCGCCAAGTTCGGCATCTACGCCTTCGAGCTGCCAACCAACTGGGTTGACAAGGTGATGATCCATTAATTAACTTTTGCTTGGTGGTGGAGCAAATTTTCTTTATGAATTCTTTTTTTTTGAAACGAACTTTTTTCTTTATGAATTCACTAATTACCTTACTAACAAGTGCGCAAATTTGCTTTGATTGTGATGATAGTCCCTCATTGCGTCCATGATGCGCACCCTGGAGTACGCGATGGATGAAGCAAAGGATTTCATGAGCGTCACAGATGAGCAGGATGAGGCAGAGGAAGGGGACGATGGTGATGATGGAAAGGCGTAGCTGTCAGCAAGTTCTTAACCAACTGGAAGGCAATTAGGGCTCAGTCAAGAGTAGTACTAGTTCTTTTAAGTGTTTTTGGCGCGCATTACACCTAATCTAGCTTAAGATGCTTCTGCTGCTGCTACTACTACTACTATGTTATCTATCTAGTACTAGTACTACCTGCTACTACTACCATGTAACGCCTATGGGCTATCTTGTGAACTTTGCAGCAGCTATCTTGTCTTAACTATGGCTTGATCTTTTTCACCTGTCTTGCTTATTAAACCTGCTCAATTTCGTCTAGAAATCAGCCGGTTGATTTTGTTCCTAAATAAGTTATGATCTCCCCCTGTCTCGCGTAAATTCGCTCAAATTTGTTTAGAAATCAGCCCGACTGATTTTGTTCCCAAGTAAACGAGAGACGGATATATATGATCATGATCTTATCTACCCCTTGCTATTTTCCTGGAGATGAATCGATGCGAATCCTAGGTTGGTTGGTCACGGCAGTATTTATAGATACTGCACGAAACGGAGGAGACCACCAACCAAACCGAACCGAAATAGAAGCGGTTTAGGTGAATTGGAAGCGGCCGCGCCGGCGATCTCTCGTCTTCCGCCGCCGCCGCCGCGGCGTGGTACCAAAGGTAGTATCTTCTTTAATTCCGCCATGCTTGCTAGTAGCTACTAGATCTACATACATACTGAGATTGAAGTGAAACCTGAGATTGTTCTTGAATTGCAACTCGAGATTGTTCAATTTTGATGACCTGTTTGTTGACAGTTCGACCGTAATGAGGGCGTGCTGCTACTATCAACCTCTCCGGCCACCGTGCCCTTCCATTCCTCTTGGCCATAAGCCCCAGCAGCATCATCTCTTTCTCAGCAGCAGATCAAAAGATGTCAAGTTGAGGTCTATCTTAGATGAGGACAGGCTTACTGGTGCTAGACCATGGTATAGCCTGTTCGGAATGTTCTTGAGTACGGATTAATTATCTTGTCATTATATTGCTAATCATGTTTCAAGGTACAGTAATGACTTCTTCTTTGATTGATCTTGACTGACAACAGTACGGTAGATCTGTCCTGTATATAGGTTTAGGGCTTGTTCACTTTAATGTTATTTTCAACCTTACCAAGTTTTGGTGAAGTTGCCAAAAAATTGGCTACATTTAGTTTGTTGCCAAATTTTAGTAACTATATAAGAAATTCTGCTAAAATTTTGGCAAGTTATCAAAATTTTGGCAACTATGTCAAAATTTAATTTGGTAAGGTTTATTTTGGCATCAAAGTGAACATGCCCTTAATTGTTTTTGCCCATATAAAGGGAAATTAGGATACTTTTTTCTAGTTATATATATGCACTAATAATTCTAGCTCTAAAGATCAGGAGCATAAGGGGTGGATGCAACTTCGGAACGCAATGAACAACAGATACATCAGAGCCTTGGACACAAATTTTGACGAGAGCTTTGTTGATTCCATTGTGTTTGACAAAACACTATACAAGTATGCAATTTTGGGTTGCAAGGTCAATGCAGATGGAATTATGAACGAGGTATTCTCACCATGTTCAATCACTCATACTTCCTTTCGAGAATATCCTGTTCAGTCAACCATTACATATCTTAACACCAGTTGCCTTTGAATCCAGCATCTTCATACCTTATCCTTCAAGCTAATATTTTAGTATTCATCAAGGATTTATGACAATTTGCCAAAACTGCGTCCTGTATGTTCTAGTTTAGGGTTATTTACTACATTTTCTCTAAAGAGCAAACAAAAGCACTTCCGTTAAGAAGAGAGAAATACTATAACATGGCGGCGAACAAACCAGGAACCTAGATAAAAACATCTCGACATCCCCTCAGATAAAACTAAATGAAATCAACTGCAACTAATGCCGTTATATGAAATTTTTCTATATGAAACCAGACTTCTAGATAAAAAAATCTCTATATGAAATTTCTTATAAAAAACATCCAATGGTGTAGGGTATTATATCTTCCAGTGAAAGAAATAAAATTATCCATGCTCTTGAAAGGATAGAAGATGACATTGAGATTGGAAAGTTCAAGTGGAGAGATGGTGCAGATGTTCATACAAGTATTGTGGAAGCACTTGCTGATATGATTGGGGACCAAGCAAAGGGTCTTGCCGTAGAAAGCAAATGTGACAGTTGCCTCATGATACTGGAAACATGGTCCAAGAACTCCATTGATCATATTATGACTCAATTGAAACAACTTCAGGTTCCTTTTCTGCTTTTTTTTTGTAAGTTCTCAAGATATATTCTTACTATTCAGCATTTTTTATAGTTTTGATGGTATATTGTGTTGTTCGGGAAGATATATACTCAAGCATTTCATTGTTTAATTATGACCCTTTTCCTTTGTTCACTCTTTAACATCGGATTATTGTTAATTCTAGCATACATTAATTCGTAGTATGTGGTTCAGTTAAAGTTGCATGAAAATTCTCTGTTGCAGGCTGCTCTCGTTTTGTTAGCAATAAAAAATGATGGGTTTGTTCTTCCTGGTGAGAAAGAAATTGAGGGCACCAGTCTTCTTATGCGCATTGTCAAAGCGGTAATTTTCTATATTCTACCACTGAACCAAAACATACTTATGAACATAGCCAGCCATATCACAATAAATCTGTATTTGCTTAATGGTTTACTATCCATATAATATTACATTACCCATTGCCTTGTGCTGTATCTAATACCAGTTTTCTGTCCTTTTAATTATACAGCTAGACAGTGATGCTTCAAAACTTCGTAACTGTCTTGGAGGCATTTGCTCTACCGATGGTGTCATATTTATGAGGCTCAGGTTTTTGCTGATACTTGTCCACTATTTTTAGTTTTTTTTTCACCCTCAATCTCCTGATCATCTAGCCCTCCATGTCTCCACCCTCTTCTGTATTTTTCTCTTGGCTTATTGACTATTTGTGTAAAACGGAATGTGTTTTTGTATTTTGAATATGTACTTGTATACGCTTTTGATTGAGCCAATTTTATCTTGCATAATATTGTGTGTATAAACAAAGAAATGATACCCAAGCTTTGTTTAATTGTTATACTAGCTAGTCACAGAATACTTGTTATAGTCCTTTTTCTGGTGTTAAATTCTCCATACTTTTAATTCAACATTTTATTGCTAAGTGAAAGCTAAGAAGTTACACCTAAATCCTACTTCCTCCGTTTCACAGTGTAAGACTTTCTATCATTGCCCATATTCATTTAGATGTTAATGAATCTAGACATAGTATGTGTTTAAATTCATTAACATCTATATGTATATAAGCAATGCTAGAAAGTCTTACAATATGAAACAGAGGGAATATCTTACTATAAAGTTATCCCCACTAACTCCTTAAGCTTAACATGCAAAGATGTCACATCATTATCCACTAACAAGATGCCACATCATCATCCATTAATTAACAAGATGTCACATCATTATCCACTAACAATCATCACATTTAAACATCATGCAAACATGCTATATCTTTATAGTTTTTATGATTTAAGAGCTTTTCAAATACAAACATGTTAAATTATCATTCAACATAATTCACATAATGTTTCAATGTATATCTTCATGCAAAGATGCCACATCATCATCCACTAATTAACAAGATACCACATCATCATCCACTAACAATCATCACATTTAAACATCATGCAAACATGCTATATCTTTATAGTTTTTATAATTTAAGAGCTTTTCAAACATAAACATGTTAAATTATCATCCAACATAATTCACATAATGTTTCAATGTATATCTTCATACTAAATTCCCGCAGCAATGGGCGGGGTTTCACCTAGTTTAACAAATAGCAAGTCATCATGACTATTTTTCAGAAAGTGGCAGAATGGTCCATTTTTCGGTTAGCAGTTTTGCTTTAAAATTTTTGGGAAGGATAACCTGAAATACTTCAATATATCTTGCCCCGTAAGTCTGATAAATGCTAAGTTTTTTTCCCCATCTAAATGATGCAGTTCTCCTGAAGATTACACACTTTCCAAGCTTTCTTACATTGCCTGGTTTGCAAATTCAATCAATTATCGTATTCCCAACCTTCTAAGGCAACTGCTTGAGAAGGTTTTGTCCCTGAGAAACGCTGAAACAGCCATATATGAGACAACCCTAGGAAAGTTGAGTTCTATCGAACAGATGAGGCGTCATGGAGATGTTGCTATCTCAAAATGTCTAAATCTTAGATTTGGAAAAGCATGCGGATCAGTGCAGACTTGTGAAATCGAGGTAAAAATGGTCCTATATTCTTTCTTACAGTGCGTCATGGTATAGTTTTTGGTTCTAACAAAGTGCGTTTTCCTTGATAGGATGCTAAGCACCATTTATTTTCTAGCACTAAATCAGTGGTTGAAATTCTCGACCTATCTATACAACTTGTTAAAAGCATCTCGTTTGATATGGAAAAGGCCCAAAATTGCCTCCCCAGAGGCTATGATGATATTATGAGGTTTGCGCATTTCCTGACAACAAAGGTGAGTAACTCCTGTATTTCGTTAAATCAGGTTTTGTCGTTCTTTCCCCTCTTGAAAAAGAAAAATCTTTTCTCAATGAAAGAAAGATCACGCTCTTATCATTCAAAAAGAAAATTCTTTTCTCAATGAAAGAAAGATCACGCTCTTATCAGTCAACAAGTATAGGATAAAAAGGTGTTTATATGATCACTCCAGAATGATTTGGATAATCTCAGCTTTTTCATGCTTTGGCAAATGGTTAATATGTTAATGGTATTTGCAATAAGCAGGGAATCGATTCGGTAACAGCTTATGCCTTGGTCCATCTGTGCTTGGATAAACAGCTCCAACCTTCGGAGCTCACTCTAGAAAAACGCGAGCTAAAGCAGATCGATTTTCACTGTGAGCGTGCTCATTATCTCCTGGAATACAAAGGGGGCATCTTTGGTGATTCCACTGATCTGGATGCCTGCAAGCAGATGCTGAAATGGTGTAGCAAACTTCGGATTGATCCTGCTGCAACCATCTGTTCTTGATTCCCATGATTCAATGCACTCATAGAGAATTAGGGATATTGTGCTATCTTGAACTGCCAAAACAACTACTACGTAGGAATTTGGTAGTCATGTTTACATTAGCAACTTGGTAGTCATGTTTAAATTAGCAACTAGGAATTCTCTTATGACTTGAAGTGCATCAGCCTGTGTATTCTTTGTTATGGCGTTAGATTCTGTAACATGCAATTTGCCAGTCACATGATAGCCTTGAACTTAATTTCTAGTTGTACGGTTTGTTCTGGCGATCAAGCAGCCCACAGTATGTCAAGCATCCAAGCACATGATAACCTTTGATCCCTTCGTAAGTTATCGTCTGCTGCAGCAATAATTAAGCAAATGAAAGCAACTTGTAGCTTAATTTCCTCTGTTTCACAATGTAAGACTTTCTAGCATTGTCCATATTTATTTAGATGTTAATAAATCTAGATATATGTATGTGTTTAGATTCATTAACAACTATATGTATGTGGACGATGCTAGAAAGTCTTGCATTGTGAAATGTATGTGGACAATGCTAGAAAGTTTTGCATTGTGAAATTGAGGGAGTACTACTCTAAATTACAGGGACAGCATGTGAGTGACCATTTTGACGATGGCCGTCTCCGACGAGCCGGCCTTGCCGGTGCACTCCGCCGCCGCCTTCTTCAGCTCGCGCGCCCGCGCCCTCATCTCGCCGCCGTCGCTCTCCGCCATGAGCCGCCGGATGGCCTCCTCCACCGCCCCCCTCTCGAGCTCGCCGCCGACCACCTCGAACCCGGCCTTCCACACGTGCTCCACGTACCTCGCGTTCCCCATCTGGTCGCCGAAGCTTGGCCGGCACAGCATCGGCACCCCCTCGGCGAGGCTCTCCGTCGTCGAGTTCCACCCGTTGTGAGTCCAGAACCCGCCCACGGCGCGGTGGCGCAGCACCTCCTCCTGCGGCGCCCACGCCACCACCACCCCGCGCCGCCGCGTCGCCGCCTCGAACCCCTCCGGCAGCAGCCGCGTTGGCTCGCCCGGCGCCGCGCGCCGGCCGCGGACGAGGCCTGGCCGGACCACCCAGAGGAATGGCACGCCGCTGCCGGCGATCCCCCACGCCGTCTCGACGAGCTCCCGCGCGCCCATGCTCGCCAGGCTACCGAAGCTCACGTACAGCACCGACTCCGCCGTCTGCGCGTCCAGCCACGCGAGGCAGCTCCGGTCCTGATGCAGCAAGCTGCCATCGGCGGCGGGGGAGAACCTGTGGAGCGGCCCGATGTCGAACACCGGCACGGCGAGGTCTCGCCGGAGCTTGGCCAGCTCGTGCGCCTCGAGCGCGTCGAACGTGTTGAGTATGAGCCCCGACGAGAGCTTCACCGCCGCCACGGCGCGGGCCAGCAGCTCGCACATCAGCTCGTGGCCGTCCCTTCCGATGTGCATCAGGTCGCGCACGCGGTACGGCGGCAGCTCGCTCACCGGCATGTCGAGCTGCGACTCTGCAACCAAACCATGTCGGATTAATCGATCGATGAGAAGCAAATCAGTTGATAGATCGATTGGATTATGGCATGCCTTGCACCGGGAGGTAGCCTCTGTCGCAGAGGAGTGGGTAGGCGAGGAAGCTGGCAAAGCAGGCGGCGCTGCCGGTGCGGAGCACGAGGGTGGGCACGGCGAGCCGCCTGGCCACCTCGACCATGCGCAGGAGGTGCGCGTCGGCGACGAGGCACGCGACAGCGTCCCTGGAATACTCGGCCAGGACGGCGGCGAGGCGGTCCCGGAACGCGGCCTCGCACGCGGCGTTGAGCGCGCGGATGTGCTTGACGACGTCGCCGACGGAGACGGGCGGCGGGCGGCCGGACATGCCGTCGGGGACGGCGACGAAGCGGTGCTCCGGGTGGCGCGCGGCGTCCGGGGCGTTGAAGTGGGTGTGGAAGACGGTGACGGCGAAGCCGCGGGCGCGGAGGACGCCGGCGAGCCGGAGCATGGGGTTGATGTGGCCCTGGTACGGGAGCGGGAACAGGAGGACGTGGCGCCGGCGTCCGCCATGGCCGGCCGCGGCCGCGCCGCCCTCCACTGCTGGCGAAGGTGGTGGCGTCATGGTTTGGCTGGGTGCAACTTGCAAGCAAATGCAAGGACGTTTCAGTGATCTAAGGGACCTCTGTGCCGTTGTGCGTATGGACGTGCCGGGTTTTGTACCCATCTCTTCTTTGCTAGTACTAATTACTTCTATTTTTTTGGCTTTTTCTTTCATAGATGATATCATATATCAATAGAAAGACATCGAGATTATGCCAACAAGTTCTGAAATTCACTTCAGTCACCTACAACAACACTAAACCAACAGCCGTTAAATATGCAAATGAGGTCATTTTAGGTCTATGAGTATTCGATGAAAAGCTCTTATAGTTATCTTTCCAAATTTTCTGACCTCATATCCATATTTCATCCGAGTCAACGGAAATCGTACAAATAAGGTGCCACATCGTCTAGAATGGTTTTTCAGGCTTGTAACTAGGTGGAGCACAACCCTAGACATCCTTAGGCTGTCCTCCCACCTCCGTAAATAGCTAGGTATATATTCTTTCAGAGATTTGGGGGTTTTGTTAGATCGAAAGTTAGCTAATGCTACTTCGATTGTAATTCCATGTATTGGCTAGACCGCCTAATTACTTGTCTTCAAAACCCCACCTTTGTGACTAATTCATATTGTTTGTTTATATTTTTGTTAGTTATCTGTTGCTTACGGGAACAAATGCCTTATGGTTGGTCGCACTTCGTCAGGATTATGACTCACGAGCAACCTTGAAATTAGTGTAACGATTGCTGAGGCACATCGTCCCTGGACAGTTATAGTCGGGTGGCCAACTTCTTCCCCATGCATGCAATTGACTTATCCCCTCTTATTGAAAGATCGAAATACCTGAGAACACATCAAATCGTTTCACCTATAGTTGATTATGGGACGCAACATTTATTAGCAACTAAAAATAATTTATGAGTAAAACTGTTACATGTGTTAAGGAAAACATTGAATCGTTTGACCTATAGCTGATTAAGGGACGCAACATTTATTAGTAACTAAAAACATTTTAGTTATGGATAGATTCTTTTATGTATTCTTAACAACTTTAGTCAATGCTGAAAAATAAACTAAAGAAAACCCATCAAAATCTATTCATTAAATTTAATTCTTAGTTTTGAGGGTTATAGGACGGATCGCAGGCTCGCAGCACCTGGTACACCTCTAACATGCAACCGTTGTTTTTGGATATTTTTGAGTTTCATTTATGGATTTTGCCTTGTACTGGGATATCTTGGAGAATGGAAACTTATTTTTTTTAATTAATAGCTGCCCATTTAATTGATGCCTTGAAAAGATATCTTCTTCAACAGTTTCCCTTTAGAAAATGTTGGTATATTCCCAGATTGTTGTAGAAAGATTTAAAATAATTTAAATTTTAATTTGGTAAGCATTGGTGAAGGCTACAAGAATCAAGTTGCCTCTAGCCCTCTACACGTGAAGAAATAATAATCAAAAATTAAATTTAAGACAAAAATAAAAAATAATTATTTACATTCATTTTTTTAAAAAATAAAGTAGTATAAAAAAGCACCGGGTCCTTGATGAACAGGGGAATTACCGAATTAGGGAGGGGTGATAAGACGAAGCAAATGATCATGGGCCCATTTGTCATGGGCCGAGCCGCTGGTTGGCCCACCAAGCAAGCGGCGCTGCTGCCTCTCTCTTCCATCAGAAGCCCACCTCCCATGGAGCCCGTGGCTTCCCGTCTCATCAGAGAAGACTACTCGTCTGCTCCGGCATCCCGGCGACGAGAGAGAGAGAGAGGGGAGAAGGCTGCGCGGCGGAGATGGCGGTGGCGGACGTGGCGTTCAAGGCGCTGACGGCGGGGCTCGGGGTGGCGACGCTCTACCTCGCCGGAACCTTCTCCGTCAACGTCTACCGCGGCCTCTCGTGGCACTCGGAGCAATCCGTAAGCAAAACCCTCGCCCGCCTCGACCACCAAACCCTTGACTTCTCCCCGCCGCTCGCTGGGGAGCCGCTGATTCGGGGTCCTTCTCCGACGATCTGGTGCTACTCGCTGCATCTCCCATGTCGAATCTCCCCCCTTCCTTTGGGCCTAGGACGAGGGTTTGGGTGGATATCCTTCGACCTTTGTTCTGTTGTTTTTTTTTTGCATCGACCCATGCCTGCCAAATTGGAACATGTTTGGCCCTTTGACTTGATGCGAGCACATATATTTTTGCGTGATGCTGCTGTACTGTGCAGGAGCTATCGGTGATTTCGTGTTGCTATCTAACTGCTGCTGCTTATTTCACTTTGATTAAGTTATCATTGGCTAATTAGCTTTGTAGACGCCAAGCTAGTGTTGATGTGAATTATAGTAGTGTAATGCAGCCACTTCTTGTTTTGTTGTGTTGTGCTTGGAAAGGTAGTCATGGTTTTAGGTTACAAACCTGTTGGATGCTCAAATACAACAAAACGAGTGATATAGCATTTTCGTGGTAGTTCTGAATTTTGACATGTTTAAATAGAAATGGTTCATAAAACTATTCATCGGCTTCAATGTGGCTGATGAGGTACTGCGTGCAAAAATGATGGTAAAGGTTAATCATTCCATCAGTTTTGTGAAAGGATTGTTGGCTTTTGGTGAATCTAAGTCAAACGAAAAATGGATCCTACAACTTTTGGCATGAATATTGCATCCCAGAACAACCAAATCAGTTTTCCTCATCAAGAAACTTAGTGCATAAGTCCATTTTTATTTCAGTAAATCATCCAGTCAACTGTTGTCTGATAGGAAATCGTTGTGATGTTAAACCCAATGGATGCTAGACTTAATCTGCTGATGTTAATTCAGATAACATGGAATCTGGTTAATGATTTCAGATAACGAGGTAAGCATGGAATCTGGGTAATGATTTTGTGGTTTATATCACTGCTTCAATTAATCATGGTGTGTGGTTGAAATATGTTTTGAAATGAACTATATGGTATCAGCTTCTTGTTATCTACAGTTTGAGGCGGTTTCCCTCTTTATCTTGCAATACGTTGTTGTGGAGCTTCTGAGTCGCATGCTGACATGTTCATTTGTGATTTTCAGAAGTTAGAAAAGGAGAAACGTGAAGACTGAAAAGCATCAGAAGCTAGTCTAGAATGTCAGACACAACAAAAGAAAACCTAAAGATAAACACTCACCTTGTGAGATGAGTTGTCTTTAGACTAGTTATGTTTCCTGGGATTGTTTTTGCAGACCTTTCAAGATCTCCAGAATGCTATTTTGATTTGATGTAAGATGCAAAGATCTCATGATTATTATTCCTCTTTATGCTTACGAAAATATTTCGACCAACATATGGGTGTCATTGATGCCATTTTATATGCCACAGTTTCCATTTAAGGTTGTGTAGGAAATTTTGTCATTGTTCCTTTTCTCTCTTGTTTGTGTCTCGCCGTTTTATTTACCGATCTGATGAACTCCAGCAGGAATGATCATCCGCCCAAATCAACTTTCCAGGGGTAACACGTCCAAACAAATGCCTGATATCCTGGTGATCTCACTGAAATCAAATAAATCTTGCTTAGTTCGTGTACGAGTCAGACCATGAGAGTCTCGTTCATCAAACCATACTCATTCAGATATTAAACTGGGCCAAGTCTCTTCTTCTTCAATGAAAACAGTTGCTCCCAGTCCTCTTTGAGGTTTACCTAAAAAAAGTGTAGAACACAAGCAACCGTACCCAAAGCTTTCTCTGCAGTTCATATATAGATGGTACAATTGTGTTCTTGCCCTTGCTCATGAAAGTGTACTTACACACCAAATACACTGTACGAGAACCCACTGGCAAGTCAGAAAATCAGTAATTCACGCAACTCAAAACTGTAGATATAACAAATTGAAGTTCCTCTATCACGAGTTGTGTCTGATACAGTTAAGCGCCTAGCGGTTTTTTCCCTATGTAGTGAGCAGCAGATAAACAAGGCCTTTCAGATACTCAACTATCTCAGATCCACCAAGTTTTGAAGTTCCAAAAACCCTATCGACAAAAGTTATTGGAACCTGAAAAATATAAATCACAATTTTCAGCATTCAAAGAAGCAGCATGCCAACAATACTACCATATAGCCAGGTACAAAAAAAAAACAATACAATCATACAAAGAGAAATGGGAATACATAATCTACCTCTTCAATGTGATAACCTTTCCTGGTAGCCCTAACAATCATTTCCATTTGGAAAACATATCCCTTGCTGACACACGAGGAGATTAAATCTTCTAGGACATTCCGTTTATATAGCCTAGGAAATCAGGTCGCAATGTTGCATCAATTTAATAGTAGTTATGTGGAGCTTACTCTATTGTAGGAAAAGGAGACACACCTGAATGATCCAGTCAAATCAGAAGCTCCAGGCTGTAGTAATGTTTGTGCTAGAACATTTGCTCCCCTGCTAGTCAACTTGCGCATGAGATTCCAACCATGGACACCACCGTTCTGAACATAACGGGTGCCAGTTACAACATCAGCACCAGTTTCCTTTTGCTTCCTGGTGATGCAAAGAGGACAATTAACCCAAAGGGCAAAGGTTCTTCTAAGTTACTTCTTATCAGTGTAGTAGCCTTGGTAAGAGTCCAACTGTAATGGACTTTGCTCTAAAGTTTCAGATATTTCTAACATCTGACACAAACAATCTTTCAGCAACACTAAAGTATTTAATACCTATACGGCTATACCAATTCCATTTAGAGTTGACAAAAGCATATTGATGAGGAAAATGAGCTATAGCAGACTATTTTTGCAAAGAAAATTCTGGATTGAATACATCTTCAAAGATAAGATGCTTACCTAATGAAGCTTGGCAAGTACTTCGGCTGTTCAGAGTAGGAAAAAAGGCGTCAACCAAAAAGGAAGAAAACACCAGCTTAAGCATGCCAAATATCAGATAGAAGAAAAACTGAGGAATTACATACATGGTGAGATAGGTCAGCATCCATGATAACAACGAAGTCCCCAGAGGCATGCTTTAGTCCATGTAAATATGCAGTACCTGCACCATTTCCAGTTGTTAGTTAACTCAAATGTGAAGACTAAATTCACCTTAGACTTGAATGGAGGATAGGAGCTCACCAAGTCCTAGCTTCCTCGGTCTAGCTCGCAGCAGCTGGTCTCATGTCAGATCAAACACATATCAGGAAGCCATGATACCAAGACAAATCATATATATATAAAGACCTAGACAAAAGGGAGCACTATACAAAAATACTTACAACACGGTTTTCACCATATATTTGCTGCAACTGCTTTACAATGTCTTGAGTTCCATCAGGGCTTCCATCATCCACAACTATGATTTCAAAGTTGACATCCCTGATGAGGAAATCTAAAGTTTGAGATACTATAACTCGAAAGAGTTCACAAAATAAATAAAACTGCCTTGTCATAAAGAGACACAGGGACAGGGCTGCAGAACACACGGGCATAATGAGTTGAATACTGATGGAACGCTAGCAGTATAAATCGATGATGAAATATATACTGTAGACTGAACATAAGCATGCTGTCTGGTGGCATTCTTAAATAATCACTCAATTCAAAGAGTTGGATGGATTTCTATCTGCCCATTTGACACAAGCAACATGCAAAGTAACATTCTTCGCAGCATTCTATTAGCACAATTGAGCAAGTTAGCTGCACTCAGGAGCACCGATGAAGGGTGTCTAGGAGAGCATAGCTAAAATCTGAAAGTGATCAAATCATCACATCGTCTCAATTGCACTGGATCAATAAGTAATCGTCTTCTATACTTTCCATATGTTCTTGTGAAATCACAAGAGGCGCGAATTGAATCTAAAAGAATGGCTAATCCGGATCTGACAACAACCTTCTCCGATCCACTGAAGAGCAACAGATCAACAGTAGATGGGGGGATAGAGATGGGAGAGATGGGGGGAGTTACGGCAGGTGCTTGAAGATGAGGTAGACGATGAGGGCGACGTTGAGGCGCTCGTTGTAGGTGGGCACGATGATGCTGTACTCGCGCCTGCCGCCGCCCGCGTCGTCCGCCATCGCCGGCGCCCCGACTCGACCTCGCACCAGATCTCTCCGCCCCCCGCTCTCTCCCGCACGCGATCCGACGCGGGCGCTCGGTGACGGTGAGGCCACTTAGCTGGGGATGAGGATGACGCGCGCGCGCCGCAGATGCCGCCGGCGACGACGAGCAGGGCGGCCGGCGTGAAGTCTCGTCGAGGAGTTGCTTCGCCACCGCAAGGTCCATTGAGATGTATAGGGCCGCAGCGTGGGCCGTATCCAGACCATGGACGTGTTTCCATGGGCCGTGTCTAGCCCATGACAAGCAAACGCTTTGTATGCGCCTGTAGAAGAGAAACGGTATGGTTTGGCAAAGACCAACCATGCAATCCAATGGAGAATGGACAGGCCAATCACAGGAAGCACCGCATTTCGTGCCAACTCCAGTCTAGACCGTTTCAGTTTACATAAGCAAGCATTCCCATTCAAACGGTCATCATCGTCATCTATATCTATACTAATATAAAAAGCACGAGTTCATCAAATACCTATCTTTACTGACCTTTAAATATATTCATCCAACGATTTATATCAAAAGTTAGATCAACCTCTGCAATTAGCCATCCCCACGTTCGATTAGCAGCGGTTATAGCGATATAGCGATCGATCACGAGAAAGAAGCAGAAAAGAAAAAAAAAACTTCTCTCCCGTGCGCTAGCCCGTCGCCGCCTCCCGGAGCCGCTCGCTGCCTCCTTGCACGCGCCCGCCGGACCGCCGGGCGCCGCCGCCAACTCCGAGCGCGCACCCGCCGCAGCCGCGCCCCCTACCCCGCCACCTCCTCGCGCGTGCCCGACGCTCGCCCTACCCCGCCGCTGCCGCCTCCTCGCGGCCGCCGGTGAGTCAGGTTCGCCGTCGGCTGGCGCCTTCTCCACCACCGCCGCCGCCTCCTCGCGCGTGGCCTCTGGAGTTTTGGGATCGCCGTCGGCCGGCTCCTCCTCGCGTGCGCCCGCCGGGGAGCTGTGGTGGGTTACGGCACTACGCAGTACAGACTCCAGGTTAAGGTGATGTCCTCTCTTCCTAAATCCTCAAACAATAAAGATTTTGTGCTTTTATTATTTTGGGGTCATAAAATTGTTTACCTAGGGTTTGGGCAGGGTTGCTTATGATACGGGGCCCCAAATGTTTAGTCAGTTGGTTCTCTCGTCTCGCTATGTTATTTGCTCTTGTTTAGGAGATAATTTTACTTGCTATGAATTCTGCTTGCTAAGCATCTCACAAGTATCATATCAGTCATGCTTCCTCAGGAAATGTCTAAAAACATGGTGGACTGCCGATCACACAAATTAATTCTACAAAGCAATTATCAGTTAATTACCTAAGGACTTGGCTGACTGCCGATTACCGATTATAGTGTAAACGGTAAGCATCAGTTGTGGCAGTGCACATAATTGAATAAACAAAATGCCCAATACCCCTAATTAATCTGAAAGCAATCCATCAATTTAATAAATTAAGTTGTGGGATGCAGATTGCAATTAGTGTTTGGCCGTCAGGCATCTGGCATTAATTAGCATTCGGCCATCAGGCGTCTTGCATTCTGGTTGCTTGCTTTGCCTATTTGATTGGGTTGGATCAGGTGTCCAATGTGATTTGGTCCGGGGGTCCCACACTAAAATTATACATAGCCTATAGGTTCCACAATGTTGTTAACCAAAGCACTCGCCCTTCCCATATTCAAGTGGATCCCCATTGATCTAGGTTGGCAAATCTTACTACACTATTTCGTTACCTCGTAAGTATTAAGTTCTTTTATGGAACATATTTTTAGATTTAATTCCAATGATAGGCTTGAAGATATTTTGCACTTTTTTACTTATTGGAGTTGATGTGATGGAGCTAACATCAGCTGGAAGTCACCTTGAAAATGGCACATTTTGTGTCTTGCCCATTAACTGTCAAGTATGGCACAATTATTAGTGTGTTTTCCCCTTTCTGCGGTGCAGGGAGACGCATATTACATATGTATCCCTCTTCTCTGGATCAAAGAGTGCAGAGGTCCTTCAATTGCATTCTAAGGGGATAGGGTTCATAATTGAATTGTTTAGTGATGTTTGCAATCTCACAAACTCAAATGTCGTTAGCCTCTCTTGAAGACAAGAACCATTAGTCTCATAAATTATCAGGTTTGGATTTTAGCAGTTTTAGGTTAGATTATAATTCCAGATTAAAGTGAAAATGATGAAAGTTATACATTAAAGATTTTGAGTGAAAACATTACCAGATTTTTTTTCTCCAATGGAATGTTAATTGTTAAGTGCAATATATATTCTTAATTAAAGTTGTGTGCATAGATGACCTGCCAACAATACTATCCCGTATTGTTCAGTCTATTGATGATTGAACTGGATGTCAACTCCATGTCCTCATTGTCTTGCCAGGCACAGGGAGGCAACAATCCAATACAGGAGAGATGGGATGGGATCCTAGCTCAAGGGAGCCCTAGCGGCAGCTACGGTCGGGAGGACCTAAGCCCTACAGGCAAGTTCTATAATCAACCCCCTTTTGCTTACCGGCGATAAGTCAACCAACTTCCAGTGATGCAGGTACTGATCCTCTCCTCCCTCCCTCTCCCTCCCTCTTTATCATGACATTAGCTGATTGATCACCAGCTTTTTATTCCGATTGCTCCAGTGAACTTTGTTCACAAAATAGTGTTTTTTTCATTTTCTGATGCTTGTGCCTATCGTGTGACTCCTCCACCGACATGTACATTGATATCTGCCCAACTGATTGATGAAATGATCGTTTACATTTTTTTTTGTTCAATCAATAGTTTCTGATCAGCTTGGAGTGGTCCGTGCCATGTTGCTGTGATAATGCTACAGGTTAATCCTCCTGGCTCTCTGTACTGAAACAATTTCTCCGGATCTCTTTCCCTTTTGTTTTGGACCTTATACAACCTGCTGTTGGCTAATAATGACATTCATGAATAATAGATCATGTTAAAGCTGTTTGCATGGTCTGCTGTTGTCAAATAGTTTTATGCAGTCACAACTCTTATTAAATGATCAGGTTGACTTCAAGCATTGGGCTAAAAACTAAGATTATGTAAGTTAAATAACATATATGCCGTCATCTTCAATTTAAGTGATATTGTGTCAATCTTCTGATCAACTGTTTACATCTTCGGATTATATAGATTCATGTCACATGTGTATGTCTTCGGAATTATCTATGTTTATGTTACTGTGTATGTCTTCAGATTTATATATATTTAGGTTACCTGTGTATATCTTGAGATATTTCGTAATTGCATATTATTACAGATGGCAAAGATGTTTAATTCTATTTTTTTATTGGATATCCCTCAGCGATATGCCCTGCCCGGCCTTGTCAGCTAATATGCAATATCAGTTTTATGCCCTTGACATGGCATACATTCCTCCAGGCTGCACTCACTTACGCTTTTACTGTAGATTGATAGGTTAATGTTCCATTGTCAAGGTGAACCAATCAGCTAATGATGGTTCATATAGTTATAATTTGAGTGCAACTATGTATCCACTATGATGTAGAATTGTGGGTATTTATAGATGCAATTTAAAAGGTATGCCACTTAGGAATCGACACTCAGGCACATGCACCTAGGCTTGATGGGTAAGTCTGGCCAATTTACATATGGGGAACACAAATTAATTTAATCAGTTATTCCAATTTATTCTTCTTTGTTTCTATGCACTGCAATGCCAATTTGAGTGCGTATCTTGTCATGCTATTCAGCATAATGTCTTGGCAGGCTATGCATATGTTCATGCTTATATATGCAGCATTCATATAAGTAAGGATTAATTGGATTGCTTGCTTTGTCTAATGCAGCCTCACCATTTAATTTGTGGCGAGCACCTTAATTCCATCTTGCCATTATCGAGGGAGTATATCATATGCACCTAATTCTGTATATAGAGTATTTATTGACTAGGGTCTTGGAAATTTTTGAATTGCTGTCAGATGTAAGTTCCTCAGATTGATGATTTGATTACTTTCACAGCTAATACCATTGATCACAGCTAAACACCACTTATAGAAGTTTAATGGATTTTTATCTAAAAAAGGGAAAAAAGGAAATTAATAACTGAAACTGCATAGTAGTACTATGATCTCTGAACAAAGAAATTTGCTGAGTTTCCTAGCAGCTGCTGGGTGCATTTTCCTCTTGTTATGTGTGCCTAACCTTGCATCCATTAAATTTCAAAAGTGCAAATAGAGAACTATTGCATGCATTCCTTTTATATCAAAGATTGGGATGAAATTTCCAGCTTAATCCTGACAGCCGCAATGTGTCTTGAGCAAAAGGAAGCAAGGCTGCAACTGAAACACGGTGAATAGTAAATAAAAATCTCGCTTTTAGGAAAAAAAAGGTGAGTCGTGCACAAGTGCTGTAATCTGGTTTTGGCAAATTTTTATCAAGATATACAACTCCGTTGCTTTGTTTACACAATAAACCTGAACTCTAGGTGTAGCAGCTTGAAGCATTAAAAAAGAAGATGGCAGCAAACAGATGTTTGCTTTATTGGATTTAATACTTGGATATTCCACTGTGCTTCCCAAATTGAGCTGAATAAATAGCTTGACGAATTGTTCTCTTAACATGTCTCAGTTGTCCTTTGTATCAAATGAGCAGCATAATCCATTCATGGATTGTTCTTTTCCACTGGTGATACAGATAGTTACTTCTAATGTTTCATGGAAAAGTTCGAGCTACAAAAATTTCTTAAGCAAGCTTACGGATTGTTTCTGATGAGTTTAGCAACTCTATGGAAACAAGCATAAGTGCTTCTCATCTGACCAGTTCCAAGAGAGAAGTAGCCAAGTAGGTAGAACAATCCCAAAACTGCAAACTTCTTTTACTGTATATATATATATACTTTCCTTTTTAGCATTTTCTGTAAAGTCCCAGTTCTGTATTGCAATTGGCATGGTTGTGTTCATCAGAATATTGAATGTCAAATCGAAAGGAGGCGCCAACCTATAGCTATCAACGACATGGACACCATGGTTCAGATTCATAAATTTGGGGATCATGGATGTCTAGGTTCAGAAATTTTTGGATTTTAGGCAACAAATTTTGTAGAATTTCCAATTTAGAAAAACACATTTTGCATTTTGTTATAATGTAATAAAATACCAATTTACGTTTATTTGATGAATTATCAAAGCAACGCTTACAATACTTTTATTTTTATCGGTGCATGTGAGCTACAATGTATTTATATATATCGCTGTGCATCAACAATGGATGTGTCGTTCTCCAGTATACTTCGCTTAGTATATATATCGATGTGCCTTGCACATGCACGCTCACTAGTTAAGGGTAAAGATTGACATGAGTGTGGGAGAAAACAATCAAACTGCTGGAAGCAAAATTTTGGCAGACCATGGTGGGGCTGCGAAGTTTGTGTAAAGTTCAAAGAAACCTATTAGCCTTTTGACAAGCTAGTCCGGATCACCATGTTGTTCTTCCCACGACGATCACGCTTAATTATCCTTTGGTTTTGTTCAGACCATGCTGCAAAAACTTGGAACGATATTGCTCCACAAGCGATTTATCCACACCTCCTTCCCCAGCCGGCTCTTTCTTTGTCTTTGGAGCCTTTCCTCTCCTTTGCTCCGAATGACTATCTTTTCTGTTCTTCCTCTTCGTCGGGGTGCCTGCCTGATTATGTTTACTTGACAGAGTTTGCTGCAAAAGAAAAGGTCAGTGTTAAACAACTACTTTGCTTCATCGAAATCAATAATTTTGTAGTGCCAAAAAAACCAAAAGTCCAATATTACTTACATTCCCATCAGCAGTTGGTGGTGTTGCATCTTGTCTATCTCCATCCGACGTCTTGTTTGGCTTCCGTGCTCTTTTTGCAGGCCTTTGAGCCTTTCTTTTATCTTCAACCATACTCTCCATAATGCCACTGCCACCATCTCCAGCTGCCGAAAGATCCTCTGCAGACCCTTTACCAGAGTTCGATAACTTAGATGATCTATCATGTGTTTTTCTCTTGTGCCCTTTGTTGAAAGCCCTTGTGTTATTCGCCTGAGGGCCATCAGTTGCAGAATGATCTCCTAGAGGTCTTGCCTTATCTTGTGCACCTTCTTGCAACTTATCACGACGCTCCTTCCAAATTTTCTGGAGTCTCACTTTCTCAATATTCTCAAGTGCAAATTCCACAATTGGACGACGTTCTGCACCAAAAGTTTCTGCAAAGGACAAAAACAACAATTATAACAGGAGACAAACAGGCAAAACCAAGAAAACAATGCGGCAGCAAACAAGCAAATGCTGGTTAGAAAGGAAAGGAGGGCATTAAGAGTATGGTATGTTCTTGATGATCTTACATCGTAATAATCTGCAAATATAGAGGAAAAAAAATAAAATTACAGCTAATAGCAGCACTACGACACATCAGGCTCATGACAGGACAAGAAACAATACAGATAGGTAGCATGAAGCCACGAACATGTGATACGGTGATTCCATGCAATGTAGGGATGCAGCACAATGCAATATAACACATTAAATCTTCTTGGAGAAAGACATGTTCCACATTATAAAGTTGCAACCGAGGCAGTTACAAACCAATATTTAGAAGCATTTGGTATAGAGGCAGTACCAGGGTTATTGTTTAGGACTCTTAGAGCCACAAGAGCGTGCTCATGTTCTTGAAAATCAACGAAGGCTACACCACGGGAATGTTTCTGTGCAGTACTGTTGCTCTTCTTTTCATTTTTCAGGATATTTACCTGTTCAAGACAAGTGCACACGCATAAGCATTATAAAAGAATACCTAGAAATAGAATAAAACAGAGGTTGAATAAAGAAAACCCAAGAAACCTTTCGAATGATGGGATTTTGCTTGTGAGCACGAGAAATAACTGCTTCTCTACAAAGCTTCTTTACGTCGTTAATGGTCATAGTCTTTGGCAGGTTGTAGATGATAAGCCTTGTTCTGGACACATGAAATTTTGGAGACTGGAGCATTTCTGCTTTTCTTCTAGCTAGCCTGCACGACAAGATCAATGATTCCTTAAACATTATTCATGAGATCCTTTGACCATGATTGAGAGCATAATCAAACTCCATCTTAAGAAGAGTACTGAACGTTCAATCAGCTAAAGAAAAACTAAATACAAATTATAGAAGAATGAGATTTGAAAAATATTTGACAAAATAAAATTAATGGGAAAAGACTATGATTCAATAGTTACAGCTGCAGTACAGAGACACCTTTTCATTATAGAAAAGCCAACAAGACACCAAATGCTGGCAATGAATTCTCAAAAAGTGCATGTGTTGTCGTTTGTTCCCAGAGTAACATGAACACAACATGTAGAATGGACATTTTACAAATATAATAAAATCTTACCAACTACGTTTATTCTCGGAAATGTAGAATGCAACTATATTTCTCGGAAAAAGGAAGACGCTGGCTGAAAGAAGGAAAAAGATAAACTCTTACCAACTACGTTTATTCATGTCAGCATCGGACACACCTTCTGCAGCTGGTGTCCCAGCAAGTATTTCACCTTCCTGCCACGAAAATGAATCATGAGATAGGAAAAATGATTTAAGAGATATGAGAGAGAGAGAGAGAGAGAGAGAGAGAGAAGGGGGAACTCTGGTGAAGAGGTTACCTTTGTCAAGTATAGGTTGCGTCGATCCTCCACCTCATTCTTTGACTTCTCAAGTTCCTTTTTGTGAGCTGACTCCTTGTCCAGCGCTTTCATTATCTTAAGAGCCCTGCTCTTTATAAAGATCCCCAATCCAGGAGCAGCATTGGCAGCAGAAACGGCTGCATCAGCTGCCTCTGCTGTAGAGAACTTCAGAAAACCAGTTCCTCTAGGTCTCCTGAATAACACCAAAAAACCATGCACTAATGAGTGTATATGCAAAACTGCAAATGTCCTCTGGTTGATACAACAGGAGGAAATAAAGGGAAGATGATGAAACATACTTTGTGAGCTTGTGAAGAACTGGGAAGAAAGATTCGACCTTCCCAAATGCTGAGAAGCGCTCTGTTACCTCCTCGTTACTTAGATCAAAAGGAAGGTTGCATATGAATATTGTCCTATCCAGCCCAGCGTCTTGTTTCTTGAATTTTGAGGCAGGAAGGGTGTTTTCCTCCTCTGCCACACGTTTAGAATTTTCTAACTTATCAGCTGCAGGTACAGATGCAGGTAAATGTGTCTGCTTCTGTTTCTTTTCTGATGTATCTTGTTCTGTTTCTGTATCTGTATCAACATCAGAACCCTCATTGCCAGATGGTTCAGCCTTCTCAGATGACTTGATCAAATTTTCAAGAACCTTTCTTGAAATATCAATTTCAGTTTCAAAATCATCATCAGCAGGACGATTGGAAGCTTCCTGATCAAGTTCATAGCTATCATCTTCTCCAACAAGATTATCTTCAGACTCCTCATCACTGCCTTTGTCAGACACATTTACCAGCTCTGTAGGGACAGCAAATTCATGATATTGCATCTTCCAAAATAATAGCTCAGAAAGCACAAAGAATTGCCAGGATTAGCAGATGAGACACAGAGTATTAAAACATTTTTAATTATGAAACAAATAAGCCAGTTGATCATCTTAAACAACATGAACCACTGTTCGCCTACCATACCAAAGAAATGGCAGGTACCTTTGTCAAAAGCCAAAGGTCCATGTTAGAATAGCTGAAGCGTATCATTGAAGTAAATAAAGATATTGCAGGTCACAGAACAAACGAAGGCCAGAACTAAAATAATAGATACAAAAGGTTGTATTTACCATCATCCTTAGCGCTGGATTTTGCAGCAGCAACAGTGTATACTTTCTTTGGAACAGCCCAATCAACAGCCACAGTTCTCTTTGCAACTACTTTTCCGTTAACATTTTTTATAGCCTATTTAAGAGAAAAAAAAGCAATATTAGGACTTCCAAAGATTTTTTACTCTTACTGAACAGGGTACTGACCATACATTTTCTGCATCCTGCTTACGTGTGAAAGATACAAAAGCAAAGCCTTTTGATGTCCTGTAGAAGAATGAATGAAATAGTCATAATTTCTTGTAATTTGTTTAAACTACAGAAGAAGTAAAGGATTCAATGCAAAACATACCCGTTATCAGACTTCTGTGGAATGGACACATCCCATACAAATCCTGCTAAACTGAACATATCCATGATCTCCTTTACTGTAATCTGCAATAATGAAACAAACGCATATAACCTCTGTTATCTGTTTTAGATAACAAAGTTTGGAACAGGTGAAGTTTTGCATTTCATGAAGCACCTTGAATGGCAGATTCCGGACTATCACTCTCCATTTTCTGATCTTCGAGCCCTGCATAGCAATAAGCAAGTTTCAAACAGCTGCAGGTAAATGGGGAAATGGCCAAACAGAGAAAATGATAGTGGTTCGACAAAGTACTGTTAAACACCATGCAACCCTTGTGCAGAAGACAGACACTCATCAACCAAAAGTAAAGATTTTAAGTAATCTCATTCTATCTCCTACCCACCTATTAGCACAACAGCTCAACTAGCCATGCAAGATAGTGGTGCATTATAAGCAGAGCTAAAGCTCCAGTATATCTATTGTTCCATTCACAGAATAATATTAGGATCTTTCAAACGGAAAGTTCTTTAGGTAGAAGTCCAGAAGGCCCTGCTTTTATAGAAAGCACAGGTGACTAAATCTCTAGAGGCTTGTACATCTTTTACAGATATAAAAGAGAAGTTAGTGGTAGTTACGGTAGTATTTTAAGATGAAAAATATAGTAGTGCCTTTTGTAAACAATCAAATCATTCCGTCATCTACTTATGTGTATATGCATGTAGTCATCGAATCTAATGTGAATGAACTATGTAGGTTGGGGATACTGTTTTTTTTTCTAGTTTAAAACTTATATTACATTTAGTTTAGATCCAATGCAATGAACAGGCACCATGTGTACTTATGAGACAATGTAACTAAATATATTTGAAACTGTAGTCAGGAGACCTGTAATGTATGTGGTATTCAAGACATTTCCAGGAGGCACAGCTGCAGGAGGTTACTGTTAATTTGAGACTCCAGAACTTGAAGTTCCAACTTCCAACCCATTTTTAATTAGCACATACCCATCCGTTTTGAATTATCGTACTAAGACATGATAACCACCTTAGGTTAGAACATAAGGACAATTACATACAAGCATACAGCTTTGAGGAGCAACTAAATGTGAGCACGCACACTACTGCACTGGTAAACAAAGGTGAAAGAAAAACATAAGTATTTGAAATTTGTTTAATCACAGAATAGAAACAAGACAATCAAGCTAAAATAATGAAGTAATGGCAGCATATCAAGGTAAATATAATGCAAGAAGATACCTCCCCACCAAGTTGACGAGCCCAAACAACTGCTCCCTTGACCTCCTTACGGTGCAAGTGAACAACTGAATCCCAGGCTGATGTCACACTAGCAAAAAGTACAGCTGCTGCATCTGTTGTGCATCCATCTCGTTCAAGCCCTGTTGAGAATGATGGTCATATTCTATAATTTACACCAATTCAAGAACATGCTAGTGGTATTAAAGGAAAATAATTGTGTACTTGGAGCTTGGAAAAGCAAACGATACAGAAACTAAGGTAAAGACGTGTCCTGCAAAAGTACAGCATGAACTGGAAAACAGAAAATATGAGATATAATTCAAGACTACTACAATCAGCCTTAACTTTCATGTCAACAAAATAATTTGACTCAAAGAACTTCCACCAGAGCAATTTCGACCTAGTGACATGGTATACAATTAAAAAAAGAACTGAAAAAGGAGTAGATTAGGAAGTCATACCATGGAGCTCCATTTCCTCTTTAGGAAGTGAATAGTTGACAGATACAACTGTGCCAATCTCTCCAGCTAGACGAAAAACTTCACTTGCCATAGCAAAGTCTCGGAGACCACCGAATATCACAGTTTTTCAATCCTTCATCATAATCAATTGCATATGTTATATTGTCGCACTGGGTTAAACTGGATAAAAATAAACAATTACAGCATATATCCTTGAAAAAACTAAGAATGGTGAGGTCATGAAAAGCAAACTAGAACAGGATGGCAAAATTTCAGCATAATTACTTCAATTTTTTTTAGGTAATGCTATAATGCCTTGATGGTATAGAATATTTGAGTCCACACCTTTGCTTTTCTGAGCTTTTCACCTTATCAGTATTGAAAATACTAACTTCCTTTGATACTGTAATATCCTTTTTCAACAACTGTAGTGGTTCTGGTTCAGTAAAACATGATGCATCAGAAAATTAAAGCGTCGAGAAAATTTAAGAATGGAAACAGTGCTGGAATCTGGGTAATTTTCCTTTCAAACCTGCATCTTTTTTATGAGAGGTCTCCTTATGTTTTGCAGTAGAAGTATCATCTTCTTCATTTGTTGCATCAGCATCCTGGGCTTCATTTGTTGAATCGGCATCCTTGGCTTCATTTGTTACATCGGCATCCTTGGCTTGCATGGCTTACATGCAAAAGCAGCCAGGCGATCAGAATCTCAATCAATTGAAATTCAGAAGCAACTACCAGGAATAGAGATTTACCGTTTTCCTTCTTCTGTAAACGCTCCTTCAGTGGAGCACGATGTGTTGCTAGCTTAACTCTAATTTTTCTACCAGCAACAGAAAATCCATCCTTTTGCTGAATAGATCGCTCAGCATCTTTAACAGTTGCACTGTATTAATGTAAACAAGTCAAATATATATATATATATATATATATATATATATATATATATATATATATATATATATATATATATAAAACAGGTTACAGGCCAGTTTTGTATGCCTTGTGCCTAGATCATTTTCAGCAGAAAGATATTCCTTCATGAATGATCACACATGACACATCTGTATTTGAGAAAAAAGAATCGAGCTATATCAACCAAACTCTTATGGTTTCGCTTGTTCATTAGTGCAGTATATAATATACGGCGAAAACTTTGTGCAGTACTCCTTCTAATAAGAACTAACTATTGGTTTGGTTTATCTTCTGTTAGGGACCTGATAGTCTGATACTACACAGTAACACAGACACACCACCACTAGAGACACTGAACAATGAATTTACGCTTAGCATTGAGAAATTTGCTCACTAGACCAGTACACTCACGATCAAAAGCAGTTGTGGAATTCTGGAAATATGGTAAAGGGAAACGCATTTTCATTGAAAACACCTACAAAAGCAACCACTGATACTTACAACTGTACGAATCCAAAGCCTCGGCTCGTCTCCGACCCTGCATTAGAAACAAACATTATCGCATAAGCGAAGCCCTTAATAATAAGCACCACCAAACACCAAACAACTCTGGCTAAACAGCCATGGAATTCCTGAATTCTCTTACCTTTCGGCGCGACCATGAAGCAGCGCCTCACCGGCCCGACCTCGCTGAACACCGCCTCGAGCTACATAACAGCAATACATCACATCATACCGCGTACCACAACACTGATCCCCCCGAAATAGCACAATCCTAACCCCTTTTAAGCTTCGCAGAGGAGAAAAGGCTAGGGGGGCACACGCTTACATCGGCGGACTTGAAGGTGTACGGCAGGTTGGAGACGAACACGGTGGAGGGGCTGTGGCCTCCGCCGGCGGCCGCGTCGCCTTCCGTGGCTGCTCCCCCGCCGCCGCGCTGCTTCCGCTTACCCATCGCCGCTCGCCGGTGTCGCGGGGGAGGAGGAGGCGTGTGAAGCTCTCCAGTAACTCGACGAGGGCTTTTGTGGGCTAGGGTTTAATGATGACTAGATGGGCTGGACCGCCGCCACCCAGCTAGCTCCAGATCTCTCCGCACCTCGCTCTCGCGATCAGAAGCTCGGTGAGGCGGTGAGGCCACTAGCTTAGCTGGGGACGAGGATGAAGCGCGCTCGCCGCAGCTCCCGCCGGCGACGACGAGCAAGGCGGCCGGCGTGCGTGAAGCCTCTACGTCAGTACGTTGCGGTGCGTTGATTCGCACCGGAACTGGAAGGTCCAGGATGGATGTGTCGGGCCGTTCTGTGGGCCGCTTCCAGCCCACGGACGTGTTTGCGTTGGAAGCCCATGACAAATACAGCCCTACAGGGGAGTTCGAGATTCTGAGAACTAACATGCAAGAATGTAAAACTGGAAAACCCGGTTTCTAATCACTTTTAGTTAGTTTTTTGGATTCTATTATTGTAGATCTTAAAAATCTAGGAAAAATTTTGAAGCTACTCCCTCCGTTTCATATTGTAAGAATTTCTAGCATGCCTATATTCACATAGATGTTATAATAAATCTATACACATCATTAACATCTATATAAATGTGGGCAATGCTAGAAAGTCTTATGATATGAAAAAAATGTGGACAATGCTAGAAAGTCTTATGATATGAAACGGATGGAGTATATGTTATAGGAAAAATTGTGACTGCTAAAAGCTACTCCCTCCGGTTTCATTTTAATTGACGTTTTGGACAACGACACTGTCTATAAAATATATCTTTGACCTTATTTTTCTATTATAATATATATAATAAATAAATGCATGTTTACTTTTATTGTAGTGTTTTCAAAGACAAATTTATATATGTTGTTCTAGTTTCTTTAAACTAAATATTTTTAAAGTTATTGATGGTCAAAGTTATAAAAGTTTGACATCAATCTCGTCTAAAGCGTCAATTATTATTATTATAGAACCGAAGGGAGTATTCGAATAGTGCATCGGATCAAGCAGACGAACTCAGCTTGTTTGTGGCTGGTACATGGTCAAGTCTCATTGTTTCCTTATCAGCCACAACAAAAATGTGAATTTTGAAACGTTGATTTTGAGATTTTTTTTTTTAAAAAAAATCAGTATTGGCTTCTAAATCGCTAATACACAGCTGTAAAAGTTTTGCCTATAAATTCTTTTGGTTGATTTGTTTGTTTTTCTAACCGCTTATCAACCATTGAGCAAACGATGAGAGGCTTATTCTCATGGAATTTCCCAACATTACGTTTCATTCGATTCAACAGACACATCAGACATCATGATATTCTTGTAGTAACTACTTTGATGTAGTTATAGTTCCAGAAACTTGCTCGTACATTCTTTTCGCTGATATGGTTTACTAATCCATTCGATAATAACAGGACCCATATTACAAGTGCAGTAAGATAAGGAATCCAGACTAGCACATATACACACCAAAATAGAAGAACACCCAAAATAAAAGGGTTGGAACTTTATTGCTAATTGCTCATAGGACCATTCATAGCTAAGTCCACCAAGTCAGTCTGATTTCTGATTCTTTTACTCTTTTGAAGGGAGTCAGAGACCAACAGCAGCATCTCATTTCAGACATGTTTACAGATACTTCTGCCATCTGAAGGTTGCAAAGTACTTGTTGCTATCTTTTGGAACTGGAGATAAATCGACAAGGCTAACAGCTACTATGCATTCTTATGCCAAAGGGATCTGAAAGGCAGCTGAGAAAGCCATGAGGATTCAGAGCGTGGTGATCTAGCGGCATGAGAAGCGTTTGTGCCAGTGGAAGCGTCCTGCCAAAACTTTAGAACATAAAGGCTTTCTTCTTCAGTGCATCTCTTCAAGAGAACGCGTGATGCATAGCCCTTCTCATTCATCAAATGACAGATATCCAGAGGATCGTTATCTTCAAGAGCAATCATATACAGCCACCCTCTTTCAGATAGCAGCTCACGCACAGCAGGAAGGATCCGATCAATCACTTGGCGCCCGTTTATACCTCCAGCCCAAGATGAAGCGATGCCATTGGACTCGATTTCTTCCTCAGGTGTTGGTACATAAGGAGGGTTCACAACAACAACGTCAACCAAACCATGCAGGCGTTTCTCAAGACCTGACACAATATCAGTAGCAATCACGTCTGCATGGACGCCATGGGCTTCAAGGGTTGCTTGAGTTGTCTCCACAGCATGTTGATTGATATCAGTAGCGAGGTACTGGGTTCCTGAGCCTAACTGCCTGAGCATGATTGCTAGAGATGTGATAACATAGCCACTGCCACATCCTATCTCCATGCATAATCTTGGCTTTAGCGTCAAAAGTTGTGCTTTGTCAGAAAGAAGCGCATCGACAAGTGCAAAGGAATCATCACATGGTTCATACACCTCTGGATGGCTTGCAACGAGTTGAATCTGTGCGGTGTTTAATGTCCTTCCTGATAAAGACTGCAATAGAAAGTGTCACCATGCGGATATTAAAAGCAACATACATTACTCAAATAAATTATTCCTTACTGAAAACATGTAATTTTACTGAGATAACTTGGGCTGAAGGTGCTTGTATCTTAAAACAGTAAACGACAAGGAAACAAATCGGACAACTTGCTATGACGGAGGACAATACAAAATACTTTTTTTTATAAAGCAACAAGAGCAATTGCTCATTGTACAAATGTCACCTAGACCTCATGATTCCTCCGACTGTGTTTTTCTTGGATATTAGTTTTCTGTTCAGGACAATAATGTTGCATGTACTAGACAAGCTCCATTGCTATGCTTGGATTGATCAGGAGGGGAAAAAATACAGAAGAAACATGTATGCTCATCAATACATACAAAGAAATTTGTAGGTAGCTAAACTGAACTGTGGACAGCTCATTTAAACGTTGTGGTAAAGCACAAGTTTCCAATAGGGCCAGGAATCAAGCAATTAGTGTTGACGTAAAGCTAGCAATCAGATATATCAGAATGAAAAGAAAATGGTTCAGACTTCAGACAGGGGCACAGGGCTAGGCATCATAACCAGGTTCATCGAACAAAAAGAAGAATCTTTTGCCTTCACAGTCTTTCTTCCCATACGACTGTGCCGGCTTAGCTGATAAGCGTTCATCCCCATATCCTCTGAAAAGCTTATTGCCTAATTGAAGCCAACAGAATCTAAAGGCGGCAGTGCCGTATTTCAGCGATCTTGTTCTTTTTCCCATCCCATCTTTCACAAGAATCCAAATTCGATCGTTACAAATTATGATTAACTGCCTACAGAAGATTGGCCAAGGATTCAGATTCCAAAACCAAATCCAAGCTAAGCTTCGCCAAGGGAGATTGCTCATATGGAGATTCAATGTCGCTTACACTCATCGCCCGATCCCAAAGAGGAGAACTGACACGGGGGAGGGGAGGGACTGAAAAGGAGAGCTCACCTTGCCCCTCCTGGGGAGCCCCTTCTCGTCGCTGTTGGTGGAGAGCTCCGACAGCCTCCCCTCCACCGCCGACACCGCCGCGCTGTCGCCGCCCGCCATGGAGCAATCGGAGCAGCAAGAGGAGGAGAAAGCCGGAGCGGCGGAGAGAGAGAGAGAGGCTGCGGCGGCGCGTGCAGTTGCCTATTGGGGAAAAAGAGAAGAGAGAGAGATAGAGAGAGAAGTGGAAGGGCCAAGCTGGTCAGGCTTAGCCAACTCGAGTCCGACTCGCTCGCGTCGCACCCGCGCCTCTCGGAGTCCGACTCTATCCACTCCCGCGACGAAAAATCTCTCCCCAAAATCTACTACGCGAAGGGAGTGGAATCCTAAACCCCTCCTCTTCCTCCTCCTCGTCGTCGTCGGCGGCGGCGGATGGTGGATGCTCCCATGGCGCTCGTCTCCACCACCGCCACAGTCGCGTCGCCGTCCTACCACTACTGCGACCTGCTGTTCCCGCCCGCGAGGAGGTGGTGTTGCAGGGCGAGGAGACGCGGCGGGGGCGGGGGGCGGGTCGCGGTGGTGGCCGCGAGGGCGCCGAGGGAGGCGGCGGCGGCGGCGGTGGTGGTGGAGAATGGGGGGCACTCTTACGAGGTGGAGTCGCTGATCGACCGGCTGAGCAACCTGCCGCCGCGGGGGTCCATCGCGCGGTGCCTCGAGACGGCGCGCCACCGGCTCACGCTGCAGGACTTCGCCGCGGTGTACCGCGAGTTCTCCCGCCGCGGCGACTGGCAGCGGTCGCTCCGGCTGTTCAAGTACATGCAGCGCCAGTCGTGGTGCCGCCCCGACGAGCACATCCACGCCATCGTCATCGGCGTGCTCGGGCGCCAGGGCCCCGCCCTGCTCGACAAGTGCCTCGAGGTATTCCATGACCTCCCCTCCGAGTCGCGCACCGCGCTCTCCTACACCTCCCTCATCGCCGCCTACGCGCGCAACGCGCTGCACGAGGAGGCCCGCGAGCTGCTCGACCAGATGAAGGCCTCCGGCGTCGCGCCCACCGCCGCCACGTACAACACCGTGCTCGCCGCCTGCGCTCGCGCCACCGATCCGCCGGTCCCGTTCGACATGCTGCTCGGCCTCTTCGCTGAAATGCGCCATGACCCTTCCCCCTCCGTTCGTCCCGACCTCACCACCTACAACACCCTCCTCGCCGCTGCCGCTGTACGCGCTCTCTCCGACCAGTCCGAGATGCTGCTGCGCACCATGCTCGAGGCCGGTGTCTTGCCGGACACCGCATCTTACCGCCACATTGTTGATGCCTTCGCTGGTGCTGGTAACCTCTCCCGTGTGGCCGAGCTGTTTGCCGAGATGTCAGCAACGGGGCACACTCCAGACCCATCTGCGTATCTTGGGCTGATGGAAGCTCACACGCTGGTTGGTGCCACTGCTGAAGCGGTAGCTGTGCTGCGGCAGATGCAGGCTGATGGCTGTCCGCCGACAGCTGCGACATACCGTGTCTTGCTTGATCTGTATGGCAGACAGGGGAGGTTTGATGGCGTGCGCGAGCTCTTCCGCGAGATGAGAACAACTGTACCTCCAGACACAGCCACATACAATGTCCTGTTCCGCGTTTTTGGGGACGGTGGCTTCTTCAAGGAGGTGGTGGAGCTCTTCCAAGATATGCTTCACTCTGAAGTAGAGCCTGATATTGATACATGTGAAAACGTCATGGTTGCGTGTGGTCGTGGTGGACTCCATGAGGATGCAAGGGAAGTTCTTGACTATATCACAACAGAAGGAATGGTGCCTACTGCAAAGGCCTACACTGGCCTAGTTGAAGCGCTTGGCCATGCAGCTATGTATGAGGTCAGATGTTGTATCATATATTGATGAATTGACTCTTAAGATACCCCTTTTGTGATAAAATGTTTCATGATGTTATATTTGATTCCAGGAGGCTTATGTTGCATTCAACATGATGACTGAAATTGGAAGCTTGCCAACTATAGAGACCTACAATGCTCTTGCAAATGCATTTGCAAAGGGTGGCCTTTTCCAGGAGGCTGAGGCCATCTTTTCTCGAATGACCAACAATGCTGCTATTCAGAAAGACAAGGATTCATTCGATGCTCTCATTGAAGCGTATTGCCAGGGTGCACAGTTAGATGATGCAGTTAAGGCATACATGGAGATGCGGAAGTCCAGGTTTAATCCAGATGAACGCTCCCTTGAGGGGGTACTCAATGCCTACTGCATAGCAGGTGTTATAGATGAGAGCAAAGAGCAGTTTGAAGAACTTCAGTCCATGGTGACTGTTCCTAGCATTATTGCTTATTGCATGATGTTGTCACTCTATGCCAGGAATGACAGGTAACTATCAAAGAAACCTTCATGCTGTTTTAATTAAAACTTATGTGGTTCTGATTGTAAATGTAAAGCATTGAGAGTGATAAATAGGGAATAACTTTAATCAACTAAACTGGCTGGTTTTGGGGCTGTAGAAAAATATATTTGGACTAGCTATGTGGGGCCCAAATGTCAGCCACAAGGAATGTTTAAAGGAGTAAAGATTTGATTAATCACATAAATGACCATAAAAATATATTTAGATTTGATTAATCACTATATGGAATTTGAAATATAAATTTTATATATGACCATAAAAAAACTTCCTCTAAGTAACATGGGGCTAGGTCTAGGGGCAATCGCATGTCTGTTTTGTGAAATTCCATAAAATTTGAATGGCGGTTTGATAGATTAGGAATTCTACCCCCTTTGTTGGTCCAGTTAACTTGATATGCCATATGCGGCATGTAATGCTGTAAGTCTGTAACACACTTGTTGCTCCAATCTTGCAATTTTACTCTCATTTCATACGCTGCAGAACTTTATTACTCTACCGATTCATATTTCTAGAGACCACTTGTTTCTTTATGGTTCTTGAGGGGTTTGAATTCATATTTGTACCTTAAAATTTGAGAAAGATCTGGGCTGTGATATCTTTCCTTTTTTCCTTTGTTCTCTCTTCCTGTTATTTATCCTGCTTAAATCATTTAGAGTTTTGACCAGCATCATTCAGGTAGCATTGATAGGCACAAGGCCAAAACTTGAATACTTTGATCTAAAAGCACTTAATATTAGAACAACACAAGGTACTATAAATGATGTGGACATCAAAATTTCTAGAATCCTTAAAATGTAATGAAACTACAACATAACCGATGTACAATTTCAGGTGGACAGATGCTTATGATCTGTTGGAAGAAATGAAAACAAACCGTGCTAGTAGTACACATCAAGTGATTGCTTCCATGATCAAAGGGGAGTATGACGATGACTCCAATTGGCAAATGGTCGAATATGTTCTTGACAACAGTAACTTGGAAGGCTGTGACTACAGTTTACGATTCTTTAATGCACTCCTTGATGTCCTTTGGTGGTTTGGCCAGAAGGGTCGAGCTGCAAGGGTTTTGGATCAAGCATTAAAATATGGGCTCTTCCCTGAGTTATTTCGTGATACCAAGCTGGTCTGGTCTGCAGATGTGCATAGGTAATATTATTTATCACTCTCATCTGGTTCTGTGAGTGATCCAGTTTTTTTATTCGTCAAGCGGTGCTTAAGGTTGTTTGCATTTGCAGGATGTCAGTAGGTGGATCATTAGTGGCTGTGTCAGTGTGGCTCAATAAACTTTATGATAGACTAAAAGGCGATGAAGATCTTCCTCAGTTAGCCTCAGTTGTTGTATTGTAAGCTTTTAGCTTAAGATTTACCATGTTCTATAGTTATATCATGATATGTTCTAGCACTGTTCTGGAATCGAGTTCGTGATTCCCATGATTATTTCTTGTCTTTTCACTTGCATAAAGAAATGCAATACGTAGCTACTTATACATTTTTCCGTTTGCTCTAATTGACTGACAGTTCTCTGATTGCCAGGAGGGGACAAATGGAGAAAAGCACAGTTACAAGGGGATTGCCGATTGCAAAAGTTGTGTACTCTTTTCTGAATGATACACTATCATCATCCTTCCATTATCCAAAATGGAACAAGGGACGAATCATATGTTTGAAGTCCCAGTTGAAAAAGCTCCAGGCAGCCATAGATTCTTCCAATGGTGCTGCAATTTCTGGTTTTGTTCCCATGACAAACTCTCATTTGCCATCCCCTGGTTCCAAATTGTACACTAGGGAGTCCCAAGCTGATAATGGTTCTGCCCATTTGACTGATGAAACCTTGGTAGAAGAAAAGGAATCAGAACTCCTTGCACTGTGAGTTTTCAGGAGCTTGCTGCCTCCTTCCTTTTGCAGATGCGATGTTATCTGGCCGAACAAGGGAAGATAAGACACAGAATGTCTCACAATTTTGAAGTTTGGGCAATCAGATCGTCCTAATGTGCAATGAGATGGCCTTATGCCTTTGCAGTGCTCTCTTGCTTCACTATATGCAGTGGACGTGACTCCCAATATCCACAATCTTGCCTAGAACCCAGCACATAAGCATGAGTTCGTGATACTGGATTTGCGCTAACTTGATAGACAATGCTGGACTTCCAGTTGTGTTTCAGGATGTAGCACTTAGTAGGGAGAATCAGAGTATGCATGTTGTTGTTAGTTGCTCACTTGTTCTATATGACATTTCGTGCCTGCCCCATTCGGCAAGAACGAACCCTGTCTGGAATATATGGATTCACTCGATGCAAGTAAAACATGCTGATGAGTCAGTGGAACACATCAGTCATCGATACGTTTCTGATGGAAATAATATCGGGAGTTTGTATCACCGTATGGTTCCAGTTCCTACATGATGTATCAGTGTGCCCGATCTTTTTAATGCAAGCTGCCTTCTAAAAATATTCTTGTGTATGATGCTGCCATGCTGGTGTTTGTTTTTGAATTCGTGGTGTAAGATCTTGAAAGCTTATATAAGTAACAAATATGAAGGTTTAATTTGTGCAATGACATTAATAGACGTGTCAAGAAAATACTTTTATGTAGTTATATTTTATATAATTCGTATGAATATATGATCAGAGAAGAGTATGTAATCAAGCCTGTGCGAGCGAGTATTTTGTAGTAAACTGTAATGATATAATCAAGTTCTCCAGGCCTCCAGCTAAGTGAGTCGAAAAATAGTACTCCAGCCTGTTTTTTTTTTACCTTATAGTCTTTTTAAAAAAACTTATTTTAGGATGTATTTTTTTCGTAGCGACAACATCATTGGCGTCGTGGTCTAACATGACGGCATTAATGTCATTGACACCTCCCCCCTTGCCTCCTAACCCCACTAGTGAAAGCTAAGTCTAATCTATACTTTATATAAAATTATAACCAACTAATTCCAAAGCTTAACATGCAACCATGCCACATCATCACCCACCAACAATAATTACATATTCAACCTCATGCAAGCATGAAAGAGCATCTACAATCTATTTAATTCTACAAATTAACATGCAAGCATATTCAATCACCATCTCTCACATCATTTCCCTAATAGTTTTACAAATATCTTTATCATTTTTATATTATTTAATATATATACTTATCAACATGTTCTACATTAAAGTGTAAATTTTATTTGTTTCATGGTAAATATTGATAAGCCCAAAGATTTGATTTTTTTTTCTTTTTACTCCTAGCTGAATTATAACGAAAAATAATATTAAAATTTACTTAGTAATTTCCGAAGCAAAGCGCGGGGAATCCCCTAGTATAAAGTATATCGACGTCGAGGACATATTTGTGATTTTTTTAAAAAATGATCTATTTATAATAAATATATTTACATTTAGACCCTCGATGTGTCATCGGCATCGAAAACCTATTTGTAAATATATATTTTTTAATTGCAAATATGTCATTCGTAATATTTTTTACAAATAGTAATTGGTGCCAATGACCGACCCCCTTTATATTAGTTACTTAACTTTTACTTTTGCGGGTGATAGGGACAATGCCAACGTCGTTGACATAATCATGTTAGATCATGACGCTAATGATGTTGGCGCCATAAAAATAGTCTATTCCTGTAATAAGTTATTTCATGGGTCTATTTATAAAATAAGTTTTTTAAAAAATAATCAAAAGGTAAAAAAAATCCATGTTCTCTAGTTATGTAATTGGATCATGAGTAGATATACATGTGTGCTAGCAATAGCAAGTTTAACTTTTTGACTAAAAACCGTAAATTTTCAAGCGAGGTAAATTTTCAAGCCTCGCACGGGATAAAAGTAGATTTCGAGCGAAATTTCAAATGATTTTTAAGAGGTCATACATAAATCAATAAAATCCGACAGAAATTTAATTGAAATTTGCCAAAGTTTCATGTTACCAAGTCAGAATCAGGGTTTACTAAACTATTTTGGGTGAGTTTACCACCACCCCATAATAAGACGGTTATCCCGATAATTACACATTACCGTAAAAAACCGTACTGCTACCGTGAGATTTATCATACTGCACGTGATATCCGTGATAAGTGCGTAACCGTATGGCTTTTGCAAATGCAGGCCACAGCTCTTGATTTCTCGCTGGATCCTGGTTTTCACCAAATCACCTGCATCGCGTGATCGCGGCCGCTACCGTGCACAGTAACTCTGAACCAGAGCTACCCCCACCAACCGGAGTATCGGACTCCGGAAGCCGGAAGCGACGGCGCCGCCCGATATGGAGGCGGAGTCGGCGGCGGCGAGGCAGGCGAAGGAGTCGCTGGAGCTGGCGTTCCAGATGTCTCAGATCCTCGACACCGGCCTCGACCGCCACACGCTGTCGCTGCTCATGGCGCTCTGCGACCGCGGCGCCAACCCCGAGGCCCTCGCCGCCCTCGTCCGCGAGCTCTCCTCCGCGGCTCCTCCGACCACCGCCGCCGCCGCACCCAGCCCCGCGTCCAACGCCACCGCGGCGCCGTCCGCAAAAGCCGCGTCGCTTTTCCCCTCCGGTCTTCGCAAACCCTAGGGTTCGTGCCCCCTTCTCTCAGACGAGATCACACTATCACTTGATCCTACATTACGTTGTCTTAGAATGTAAACTAGCGGATCGTTCTGCTCTGTAGATTCGTTTTAGCCGCAACACCTTCCTGGCTTGTATCCTCAAGAGATTATGCACAATTTTTCTATCAGAACTCCTTAATTTTAGGAGATCGTGACATGGATCCGTTCAGAGATATGGGGATATCGGTATGACATGAATATTTGATTGCGGAGACACTTGTGGCATTAAGACTGAGAACTCATATTTGTTTGGGCACTTGATAATTTTGAATTCAACTTCCACTGACATGGAACGGCCTCATGAATTGCCATCTTGATGTTGCATTGTTCTAGAGAACTCCTGTTAGCTAGTTGTTCTTTGTCAGTTACAATTATGGTATAGCCATTTGTCAACAACTTATAATTTCATCAGTTATGTAGGTTGGTTGCATTTTGATCCTACCTATGTTTTCTTTGTCGCCCTGGGTTAAAGTGGTTATATACCCATCAAGTTAGTTCATTATCCTTCAATAGTTTTCCTAGATAAAAAGGTCATGCTTGAGAACTGTAGGTTATGTGGGGTTTGGTCATGTCTTTTGACCAAACGAGGCACTGAAAACACAGCCTATGCTCCCCACCAGGCACCAGCAATGTATGTGGGTTGGCTTTGCTGATGTACCAAGTAGTAACGTTGGATTCAACTGAGATCTCTGTTTATAGTCCGATAATTATAGGCTTTTGATGTTTATACTGTGCATTGCTCAGAGTAAAAAAAAAATTGAATAGAAGCCTTTCAACTGCTATGATACTTTGAAACTAACAACCTTAATACTAACTTGAGACAAGTTGCAAATGGTTCCTAACACTCGTTTTCCCTTAGCCTGACCAGACTTATTGCAGTGCTTTAAATCTCAGATTACATCCCACTGTGATCACTGCCAGCAGTAGCAATTTTTTTACAGTCATTTCAACACTACGCTACCTTAGTTTTTGGCAACATTTCAATGCTACCTTTGGTTTCACTTATCAAGCATGATAGAAATATATAATGTTCTTGTGGTTTCAAGCTTTGTTAGTGGCTTCTTATCAGGTTCAGCTAGACTTAAACTGGATTTCATTGCAAACTGTTTTTTCTTGGTATAGTTGCCGTGAGTTAACTGTTACCTGTACGCTTAAGCAGTTACTGAAGACCGAGTGGAACCGATGTGCTTGATTTTAAGGTAGAGCAGACTCGAGATTTGATTGCTGGGAGAAAGGTATTGACAATCTTAAGGGAGATGTAAAATCTTTCTTTAGAATGTATTTGTGATGTTGTGACTGGCCTGTTTCCTCAAGGAAGGTGTGGTTCATGGAACGCTGTGTGCTTTGCTTGACTTGTGGAAGATAAGTGTTCTAGTAATCATGGGAATGTTGCCTTTCCCATTTCTAATAGCCAATTGTATGTATCAGCAAGACATATGGTCTTTTGTTAATTATCCTCTCTTGACCTTGAAGTCCTTTGCTTTGCCACATGCTTATCCAAGAAGGAATGTGTCATCTCCATTGGTTGAACTCTCATTTTCAGATAACAATGAAAGCAATGTGAATGTTATCTCTGTTCCACCATCTGGTTCAAGTTCAAGTGCACTGCAGCTTTTCTTTTCTTTTTTCTTGAACTGACACTGCAGCTTTTCATTTCTGCTCCATTTGGCCCCTTTTCACCAAATTCTACTCTTGGTTTTATCCTGTCCAGATAAAAAGGATAGCATTTCAATTCCGTTCATGCAAGTGGTGAATAAACTTGATCAAGCCTTTTTAGAGAATAAACTTTATGAAGCCATGTCACTTCTGCATTCCTGCCTACAAAGTCAGGTCTTTATATGGTCAGGGTTGGTGGTTGAATCTTTATAAAAAAGGTGAAAATAACTGAATCGAATCGAACAATAATAGATGTAAAAAGTTTTTTTAGGCCGACTTGCCTTAGACTAGGCTAGTCTTTGTATTTTGTGTGGCCTAGTGGGCTGGTTCGCCCACGCAATTTCAGGTCATTTTTATGGAAAAAAAAACAATCATTTAGGTCGGGGCCAGCGAAGATGAGGGCGGAGGCGAGGTGCACAGCGGTGGCCGGAGATGTCGCAGAAGCGGCAGCTGGAGGAGAGCAGCGGTAGCAGAGCGGAGGCATGGGGGCCCCTGGCCCAGCCAAATCTGGGGCTGGGAGCTCGTCGCCGCCCCACCGCTACGGGGAGCCCAAGCATCAGATGGTCCCTGCCCTCCGCGAGTATATCCCCTCCGTTATCTTTGAGAACTCGATTGGAACCCCCATGGTTGTGTTTGTGTGGTTGGTTGTCTGATTTGGTGCCGGTGTGTGGCTTGCCTTCGTGCAGGATGATCACGGAGGTGATGCAGAAAAGCAGCATTGAAAAGTTGTTCATGGCTATTGAGCCCCTCATCCGAAGAATGGTGAGGCAGCCTATGGAACCTACTTTCTTATTTTCCATTTCTCACCCATGTGTCATGAATTTATAGGAAGATATGACTTTTTGGTATATGATGTGCATGTTTTATCTGTATCCCCTTTTGTTCTGTTGGGCTTAGGGTTATGTTTGTTGCTAACGTGGCTTTTATATTGTTCATTCATAATTTTATCGAAAGTTTCATCTGTATCTGGTGCAGCTGGCATTCTTAGATCTGTTTTGTACTTTTGAATTACACAAACCCTACTTGTAGTCTTCAACTTAATGTAAGGAACCCTGTAAATCCGTAAATTGAAACCTAACAAGTATTTAATCCCTGGAAGACTGTTAATTCCTGACCTCCATTTTTTGGTTTCATTTGTTTCTATTTAGAAGATAGTATTTTCACCCAAAGCCATTGAAAGTTTATCCTAGGCAGGATTTTCTTCAGCCATGTGTTATTTGGCTGTCCAATGATGGCCTTCAGGCCTTGATGTTTTATCCGATTGTAATTTCTAGGTGAAAGAAGAAATCGAGTCAGCGTTTGCAAATCATGCCATTATGATGGCAAGGTACGACATTGTAACACTGTCTTAAACTACTATTTGACAAGTATCAGCCACTGTATAGATTCATTAAGCTAATGCAGCTTTCTTTAAGTTTAACAACTTGATTTCTTATTTTCCCATTAGAACTGTCATGGACGTTGTTCCACCTACATCGAAAAATTTCCAGCTACAGTTCATGACTAAGCTTTCACTTCCAATTTTCACTAGCTCCAAGATTGAAGGAGAGAGCTCCTTAAGCATAACTATTGCTCTAGTTGACACTGTTACCAGAGAAGTTGTAGCATCAGGCGATGAGTCCCTGATGAAAGTTGAAATAGTAGTTTTAGAGGGGGATTTTGAAGGTGGAGAAGGCGATGACTGGACAGCTCAGGAGTTTAACAATAACATTATTAGAGCAAGGGAAGGCAAATGAACCTTGCTTCTGGGGACATTTTTGTTGGCCTTACTAACGGCATCAGTACAATGGGGGAACTATCATTCACACATAATTCCAGTTGGACATGCAGCCGTAAGTGTGGTTAAAAGCATTATTTTGTTATGTTGAGAAATATAAAACCATGAAACAATATATTTCTTAGATTTGAATGAATAAATTGTTTTTCTGTGGATGGTCATGGTAATCTGAGCTCAAAAGTTTTTTCCTCAGCAAGCAGATGTCACATTTCTATCCATATGTCTGAATTTGTCATTGTTTAATTGTGTTGTAGCATGCTTTTGCAGATGATAGTGCTATTCAGCAAAATATATGGATATATTGGCCCTCTTATTCTCAAACCATGCAGATATTGGGCAGTGGTATGTCAACAAAGATGTGGGAGGTCACAGTTGAGCATTCAAAAACTTGTATTCTCACTGACAAGGTGCATTTGTACTATCCACACAGCCTAATCAAAACAGCTGTCGTGTTCAATGTTGTTGGAGAAGTGAGAGGGCTAATATCTGAGAAGTTCGTTTGTGCTGATGATCTTATGGAAAAGGATAAGGTATTCACATTTTCTCTCTCAACCTAGTTACTTAGAGAAGATTCTTGTGTATTTCCCTCCACCAGTTAAAATCTGGACCATTTTTTTAACCCTGACTTTTGTTCTTTCTAGGCTGAAGCACATGCAGCTGTGAAGCAAGCGTATGAAAATTGGAAGAATGTATATTCACCTATAACAATGAAACAGCACTTCCATCAAATCATTCACAGCTCCTCGATGTGAGATCTCCATCATTGCTCGCAAATGAATATAACCAATTCCCAACACAGGTTTCTACTGATGGTTTTGGTTTGAGCCAGTCAAGCATACCATCAGCTGACATTGGATCCTTGTCAACTGGGAACTGCAGAAAGCAATGAAAATCAATATCAGCCCGATTTACCCCCACTTGGTGGCCATGGACCACCCGTAGTATCACAGACAATGGATAAAGTTCTCTAATTTGGTTTATGATGATTGCGCCAGTCATCCCTCATTCAGTGAAGATTACTATCGTTGTGCAGATCCATCTGTATCCTTTGACACACAAAGACCTTGAGCTGCACTGAAAGGCTTCGTTGCAACGATATCTAAGCCCAAGGCCGGGTGTAGAGAATGGAGGACATTGTCTTATGTTCTAGGGTGGATATTCTACACCAATAGGATTGTTGCTCTGAAAAGAACGAAACCTGGGAAATGACGGTTTTCCTACTTGTTTATCCCTGTGGACTGTGGTTGTTTAGTTAAACTGTGAAATATATACTATCTCCATCTCAAAATGTTTGACGCTGTTGACTTTTTTAAAAATCCCAAAATGTTTGACGCCGTTGACTTTTTTAAAAATATTTGACCTTTCGTCTTATTCAAAAAATTTAAGTAATTGTTAATTCTTTTTCTATCATTTGATTTATTGTTAAATATACATTTATATATACATATAGTTTTACACATATCACAAAAGTTTTTGAATAAAACGAACGGTCAAACATGTTTAAAAAAGTCAACGGTGTCAAACATTTAGGAAAGGAGGGAGTAGTATATAAGTGGGGAAAAGGGAAATCATGTACATATGACTATGAGCTTGGCAGTCTCGTAATCTTTTTGGGCACAGAGCTGGTACGCTTTGCTGGTTTACGAGCTACATCCAACATTTTTGTTTTTAGCAAGAGCATTCAGCATTGCCTGTAAATAATCGGATGAAGTTTTGTGAATTTAATCCGTAAACATTTGTGGATGGTGTCGACTAAACCATGTTCTCTAGCTCACCTGAGTAGCACTTCAAGGTCCTGAAATCAAATAGTATCAGATTGGGTTATTTGAGGGTTAAGTTACTTGTTTGATAGGTTGAGTTTCTAATTTAAAAATGTTGTATATATCCGGTTGGATGTAGGTACCCTTCTCTAGGTCTCCAGCTCAATTGCGGTTATCATCAGCTAGTTATATGATGTTGGCAAGAACAATGTTCCTGCAACATTAGTTCCCCTTTCACTCTTAACAGTTTGCATTGTTTTTCGCACTATTCTATTGGATTGATGAAATGTCTTGATTAGAGACAGACGTTAGAGACAGACGTTGATGAAATGTCTTGATCAAAGTGAGCATCGCTGATCACTCCATGCTGACTGGAGTAAAGAACAGTACCAAAAAAAAAACAGTGATTTGGTGTTCGCAGGTGCCAACGTCTTTATTCCCTGGTCACTGCCTGCCAAACCCTGCAAGCACTCCACGCATTATATTAGCGTGTGATTACTGATTTGCTGGCACTTGGCAGAATTATCCCAAAACCTAATCAGTACTTGCAACCATTACTTTAAACTTGATTACATTACATGATTCGGTGGTCGGTTGATTGATTGATACCTTGCGGCCGAAATCCTCATTACTACTACTGCATGTTAGGAACTGAATAAAGAAGAGGAGGTTCCCTCTAGATCCTTTACTTGCACCTTTGGCCTTTCTTTTCTCCTTAATCTACCCACATGGAGGGATCCATGTGGCCCCCAGTATCAAGTTCAGGTCTCCTTGTGGGCCCCAACGGACTCATTTACTCCTCACTCATTACCATCCAAACTCCTCTTTTAACCACTGTAAATTTATTACTCCTTGCTAATAATCCTAATAATAGTCACATTGCTTAGATTTGTAGTAGTAGTAGTAATAATTTAACAGTGTGGTTTGACTGAGAAAACCGCGAGATTGGTGGCAGCCTCCACGAAAGGAGGGCGTTTGATATGATTATATATATGCAGGAAAAAAACGAGATATCCCTGCCGTGCGTCGCGGCAACAAACCGCCGGCAAACCAAACGGGCGTGAAATCATTTCGGAAACCCCCCATCCCTCCTCCCCTTTTTCCTCGTAATAACCGGACGCCGACGCGGCCCCCCGCCTAGGCTGCCGCAGCTGAACCACGGCGCAAGCGCAACCACCACGCCGCGCGTACGCAGCGCGGCAGTAAAAGTTGCGGTAGAAAACGGCAAAAACGCCACCACCGCCATCACGGCTGCGGGCTACCACCACCACGGCACCACCGCGTGGTTTGACTCGTCGCCGACTCAGATCGCCTCGTCGGTGACACACACCCACACACGGCGAGAAAGAGTGAGAGAAAGACGAAGTGGAGGACTCCCCCCACTCTATAAATTTACTGGGGTTTGGTTGGTGCGTGTGCAGTGCAGTGTGCGTGAGTCATCGCGGAGTCGTCAGTGTTTCATCGTGTGCGCCGCGCCGCTGCGTGCAGTGCGTTGCGTTCCTCCACTCCCGCGGCGACCGCTTCAACTCGCGCATCTCGAGGAGGCCGGCTCGGCTGCTGCGCCTCACTCTCACTCTCACTCACACTGCAGTGGTGGTAGTGGTAGGCAATGGCGGCGCCGGCGCCGAAGCAGGAGGAACTGCAGCCGCACGCGGTGAAGGACCAGCTGCCGGCCATCTCCTACTGCCTCACCAGCCCTCCCCCATGGCGTCAGTGCCCATTCCCTCTCTCATCCTCTCTCTCTGCATTCCAGGAGTGGATCGATCGATCTCCATGGTTGGCTGCTTGACGGCGCCTTCGGTTTCTTTCTGCAGCGGAGGCCATCCTGCTCGGATTCCAGCACTACCTCGTCATGCTCGGCACCACGGTCATCATCCCCACCGCGCTCGTCCCCCAGATGGGCGGCGGCAATGTACGTCCCCTCCTCCCGCCGCCGCCGCGGCGTCGCACCGCTCACTTGCTTCTGTGACTCACTCATTTGGCTGCCGATGGATGCAGGAGGAGAAGGCGCGGGTGATCCAGACGCTGCTGTTCGTCGCCGGCATCAACACGCTGATCCAGAGCTTCCTCGGCACGCGCCTGCCCGCCGTCATCGGGGGCTCCTACACCTTCGTCGCGCCCACCATCTCCATCATCCTCGCCGGCCGCTACAACGGCATTGCCGATCCCCACGAGGTCGCCCTCCTCACTCCCCCCCGCACCCACGCAAAGTTTGCTCCTCTTCTGTTTGACTCCTTGCTGTATTGACACTGACAAATGTGGCGTGCTGGGTTCGGCATGGCGTTGCAGAAATTCGTGCGCATCATGCGGGGAACGCAGGGCGCACTCATAGTGGCCTCCACGCTCCAAATCATCATGGGGTTCAGTGGGCTCTGGCGGATTGTCGTCAGGTGTGCATGTCTCATCCTCAGGGTTCAGATTCCAGGTCGTTTGATCAGTGTACCTTAACTGGCCCTATCATTCTGCTAATTCATGTTTATATTCTTGTAATGTTGCAGGCTGCTGAGCCCACTGTCCGCAGCACCATTGGTTGCGCTTGTTGGATTTGGGCTCTATGAGCTTGGATTCCCAAGTGTGAGTATTTTGTACTACAATTGTACATGTACAGTCGTCTGGATGTATTTGCAACAGTGGTATGACAGCATAAATTTACTATGCAGGTTGCCAAATGTGTGGAGATTGGCCTTCCACAAATCATACTGCTGGTGGCTCTTTCCCAGGTATACATCAAGATGGCTATTGTGTGAATTCTAACGGTGGATGAATCCTTATGAATGTTGTGTAAATCTTTGTGCAGTACATACCTAAGCTGGTGCCTTTGTTGGGGACTGCGTTCGAGCGTTTCGCCATCATAATGTCTGTGGCCCTTGTCTGGCTTTACGCCTTCTTCCTGACTGTTGGTGGGGCGTACAAGAATGCTGCTCCGAAGACACAATTTCACTGTCGAACTGATCGATCTGGGCTTGTAGGGGGTGCTCCATGGTAATACCATGCATCTATTTCCATGCCATCCTAACGTCGGAAAGGCGTTACATTACATCTGTTTGCATTTATATCCTGCAATTGGCAGTTTGGCACTAAAGAAAAGATTAGCTAATATAAATAGATTTTCGTCTGCATTTTATAGGATAAGTGTACCTTACCCATTCCAGTGGGGAGCACCAACGTTTGATGCTGGTGAAGCTTTTGCAATGATGGCAGCTTCTTTTGTTGCTCTTGTGGAGGTACTGTGGATATATCTATGGTTTTTAGGGGGAGGTGCAGTATGTTAGAGGGCATTATGCATCAACCAGCTAATATTCCTTACTGTCTAATGCAGTCTACTGGTGCATTCATTGCTGTCTCACGGTACGCCAGTGCAACACCATGCCCTCCTTCTGTTATGAGTCGCGGCATTGGTTGGCAGGTACCATCTAGACTCCTTAATCTGCAAATATTTTGTCCGAGTTCTTGACAATTCAAATGGCATGCAGGCATCTTACCTACTTTATTTGTTTGTGTGTTGCCTAGGGGGTTGGTATTTTGCTGGGTGGCTTATTTGGAACAGCTAATGGATCATCTGTATCTGTGTAAGTACATTCTAGATTACTGTTGCCTATATTTTACTGTTTTATACAGTTTCATATTAATACTAGCATTTGATGTTGGTCTGAGATACTTTGTACCGTTCTGGAACAGTGAAAATGCTGGTTTGCTAGGTTTGACACGTGTTGGCAGCAGACGTGTGGTGCAGATTTCTGCTGGATTTATGATTTTCTTCTCTATTCTTGGTAAGCCTAATGCTTTGATGTAATTATGTATTTAGATGGTTTTGATCGTACTCTTCTGTCAAGTAAAGATGTATTTGTGAGTTTGTGAGAGTGGAAAAGGTGAAGTTCTATATCCAGGCTGTTATCCATGACCTGATCAAGTATTTCCTGTAATGTTCAGAGGTGGTTTGTTAATGGTTCCAACGACTGATAGCTGGATAAATAGCTAAGCTTAAAATCAGTTCATGAATAGTTTCTCAAGGAGCCGCAGTTAGCCAGAAGCTGAATATTACAGGAAATACTATTGCACAATAGCAAGGCTGACACTGACTCAGATTTAACTAAAGTTAAAGTCGTGATTACTGCATAAAAACCTATACTTGTGATGTTCTCTCAGGCTTTCATAATTTCTTTTGCTTATTTAAGCTTATCATCTTGTCATACAACTTTAAAGCATCCTTGTTATGCTCCTGCAATACTGACAATAAGCATGTACTTCATCTGGTTGTACTGATTCTGTGTTGCGTTCCTAGGGAAATTTGGAGCGGTATTTGCTTCAATTCCAGGCCCAATAATTGCAGCTATATACTGTCTTCTCTTTGCATATGTCGGTATGTACAATGAAGAGAATCTTAAATGATAAATCTAGCTTTCTTTCTATCATATTTGAATTATGAACACCTGCAATATATTTGGTTTCTGTCCACAGGTATGGCAGGAGTAGGGTTCCTTCAGTTTTGCAACCTGAACAGCTTCCGAACAAAATTCATCGTGGGATTCTCCGTGTTTATGGGTTTGTCGGTTCCACAGTATTTCAACGAGTACACCTCTGTTGCAGGCTATGGCCCAGTACACACTCACGCAAGATGGGTAAGACCCAGTAAATATACTCAAGTGTTACTACTCCTTTCATGAACCTAACAATTGATGGTTATGTTTGTTCCTGTTTGCTCTTTCCCAGTTCAATGATATGATCAATGTGGTATTCTCGTCAAAAGCATTCGTCGGAGGCGCTGTAGCATATTTGTTGGACAATACCCTCCAGAGGCATGACAGCACTGCCAGGAAGGACCGGGGGCACCATTTCTGGGACAGATTCAGGTCGTTCAGGACAGACCCACGCAGCGAGGAGTTCTACTCTCTGCCTTTCAACCTCAACAAGTTCTTCCCATCCTTCTGATTTTGCACGCCAGTGTTTTGTATCAAATTGGGATAGCATTGTAGTACGATTAGTTCTTGGGTAAGTAATTCTAGCATTGCCAGATTGTTGTTTCTCCTAGTGTTTTTATACTCCTGAGTTCTGAATCCTGCAGACCCCAGTGTAAAACTATCTGAGGAAGGAGAAATGACTCGGTATTTTTGGGTGTATATTAGTTCGGATTAACAGTTAAATCAACAAACTGAAAATGCCTAGTTTTTCTTCCCCCGAGGCTGTAATTTCAGCTGTGATTTTACTATCTTCAGTGTAAGCAGTTAAATCCTTTCAGCTGTGATTTCACTATCTTGCTGATCTTCTCGTGGTATATGGATTGCCTTTTCTTCTTCAGACGACCTAAAAAAGAAGTGGAACAGAGTGCTTCAAACTGAGCAGATGATCTACAAACTGAACCATGAGCCCATGACGAGATGGAAATCCAATTGGACCTTGAATTCGTCCAAACCAACCAGCTGATCTTGACAATGATACGTCTCTCTTCTTTTTTTCTCATGCCTCATGCATGTTCGAGACAAAACTCTCAAAAGCATTGTCAGTGGAGCCCATCTGCCGGTGACACCTTTGGATCGTTGACATGCCAGGTGTGAGAGTGTGAAACCACATGTGAAAGAGCATGGTCATATGCGCTAGTAGAATTTTCCAATTTGAATTTAACTCGTTCGGATCAACAAACCTACCAGAAAATCCGGACCATTTCAACTCGAAACAGCGAGCTGCAGCCTGCAGGTGCAGGGGGAGTCGCGTACACGACCTCGTCAAGTACCAACCACTCACATGCAATTATATGCAAAACAGAAAAAAAAAACACTTTCTAACTCTTTATTTCGTGCACATACAGCAAGTACAAATATTATACTCCCATTTAGCAACCGACGTTAAACGTGACAATACACGAGGGATACTAATTCTTTATTTGAACCGTGAAATTCGCCAGCAACCAATAGTAGATCTGATGCAACGGAACCAAACTACCAAAGGAGGACAGTTTAAATTCAAAATTCCCTGATGGCTCCCTGAAATTCCTCTGTTACAATTTATTTTTTTAATCCCCCAATAATTAGCTGCTTATAATATAATAATCAATTAAGAAATTAATTAATCCTTTGCTCCCTGATTGCCTCTCTGCCTCGCTGTACATTGCCCACTTCGCCGCCCGTTTCGGTTTCCCTTTCTTCATTCTTCTTCTTCTCATCCCAAATCTCTCCTCCTCCCATCCCGCCGCGCCCGCGAGAGATCAGCAGCTACTCGACTCGACTCGACTCGAATCGAATCCGAGGTGCGCGCCACTCGCTCGCTGCGATTCTCCTCTTCTTCTTCTGCTGGTTTCGATCGGTTGCTTGCTTCTTCTGCGGTTGCTTTGCTTGGGATCTCTGCTTACGTTGCTGTTGTTTGGGGGTTTGGATCTCGGGCTGTGCGTGTGGTGGTGCAGGGGGGCGGCGGCGAGGGGTGGTGGTGGTCGGCCATGGCGCACCGGGTGGACAACGAGTACGACTACCTCTTCAAGATCGTGCTCATCGGCGACTCCGGCGTCGGCAAGTCCAACATCCTCTCGCGATTCACCCGCAACGAGTTCTGCCTCGAGTCCAAGTCCACCATTGGCGTCGAGTTCGCCACCCGCACGCTCCAGGTCCCCCTTCCCTCGCGCGATCCATCCTCTTCTCTCGCGACTATGGTTCAGAATAGTAGTGTTGGGGATTTCGCATGTCACCATTGCGTTCGATGCATTTTTGTTTGATTGGCCTGTCGTGATGTAGGGTTTTTCTGTTTGATATGAGATGATTACTTCGCGTGTACTGAACATGAATTAAGTTCAGTTCAATTCTGTGAATCTGACGAACGAAATGGGGGGAAAAATATCTACTACTATTGATTAATGATGCACACGTTGAGCTCTGACTCTTTTTGCATGTACCACTCGTTTAATAGTAGTATGTCATTTTGTTGTGCTTCATGGGGCCCTTGGAATGATTTGAAGAAAGTAACTTTATTCTTAACTGCACTGGTATCAACATAAATCAGATCCATAGGTACAGAGCTACAGAGGTACTAAGTATCATTTATCATGTCCTTATTTAATTGATTAAGGGGATATTAAGAAAAAACTTGAATTACATGTTGCTAAAGTCAATTTGGTAGTCAATGTAGAAGATGGTGAGCTTTATGCTGTGCTAGTTGAACTTATGTTGCTAACTTATATGTGGTGCATAAATCTCTACTTTTTCTGTTGGAAGTTCTACAACTGCTTTGGCGTATTTCACTCAACTGTCTTTCAATATTGGAAGTATCTCTGAAACATGCATTTATATTGCATTGCCTTCTGATTTCGTATAAATCCAAACTTTGCAGTTTGTCATCCATTATTTTGTTTATACCTTGACTTGGGTGTATGGATTATGCGTATCATTATTTGAACAGTATATTTCACATTGCACCATATATTTTGACCAAAGTTTCACAATGGGCAAGGTCCAAACCAACCTTTTTTCACTTAACACCATATATCTTTGCACTAGTTGGCACTTTGGACTAGGGTTGAGCACATCAAAGGAAGTTGTCAGAGAAAAGCTAGTTTAAATCATCAATTTTAGTGCCACAATATTAGGATAAATATCTTTAGAAAAAGTTAGCAAATCAGAAAATAACTTTTTTCAGCAAATCACACTAAAACAATGACGTGAACATGTTTAAAAGTGGCACAAAATGATCTATACATTGGGGCAAATGAATAAATAGAAAATAGAACTAGTTAATTACCACACACTGAAAAGAAGGAAGAAAACATAAAATGTTTTGCCTTTTATAATTATCCCTATGTAAATCATATGAATTTCTCTCATATTCCCTTGTTTTGCTCACCCCTTGTCCAAACTGAAAACTTATGTAAAGATGTATGATGTTAGTGAAAACATTGATTTAACCCTAGTCCATTATGAAACCTTGGTCAAAATATGTGGCCCATTGTAAAATTTACTCTTATTTCAATAGCATGTTAAAGTATACCGTTATCTTTGTAACGTCATAAAGCTTGTATTAAGTTCATAACACCGGCGTGGTAACTATAATTCTGCAGGAATTTTTTATTTGATTTGCTCTGTTGCTGGAGCATTGCTGATGCATTTACAGAGCTTCTGAAGTCTGAGCAGTGTATTTATCATTATTCGGTATACTTGCTCAATTCAAACTGCTTGTTAAAAAATGATAGCAACTTGCACTGCATAGATTGTACAAGTGGATCCTGTCCAGAAATATTTTAGGAGAAGGGTAACATTTTGGGGAGGTCGGAAGGGGGTATGTACCATTACTCTTTTGTTTTCTTTTAGTGTTGTAGGCCTCTGAATGTACCTGACGGTTAACACACACTGTTTCTATAGATGAGTCTTTTGATTAATTTGTTGCATTTCAGAGAACTTCTGAATTTTGGGAGCTGTTTTGCCTGTATAAGGCTCTGATATAGTGAACTTGTAATAGACCTTAACAATCTAATTTCACCATACTATAGCGACTTCTTTCATGGCAAATACTCAAGTTAAATTTATCCATGATATTGGTATTTTGGCTCACCATATTAGGTATGTTGGTCTTTCTTATTTAGTGTGGTATCATGTATACAGATAGAAGGGCAGACCATCAAAGCTCAGATATGGGATACTGCTGGGCAGGAGAGGTACCGTGCAATCACAAGTGCTTACTACCGGGGAGCTGTGGGGGCACTTCTAGTCTATGACATAACAAAGAAGCAGACGTTTGAAAACATCCAGAGGTGGCTTCGTGAACTTCGTGATCATGCGGACTCCAACATTGTCATTATGATGGTAGGCAACAAATCAGACCTTAACCACCTGAGATCAGTTCCAGAGGAAGATGGTCAGGCACTAGCAGAGAAGGAAGGTCTATCATTCCTCGAGACCTCAGCTCTGGAAGCCCTTAATGTTGAGAAGGCATTTCAGACTATCCTTAAAGATATTCATCAAATCATCAGCAAGAAGGCACTTGCTGCCCAAGAGGCAGCAGGCAGTGGACCTCCCACTCAAGGAACCACCATCAATGTTACTGATTCTGCTGTTAACACAAAGAGAGGATGCTGTTCTTCCTAGGTGCAACCGAAGATTTGGTGATGCTGCAAAAGGAAATTCCCATGGATCTTACAGCACTAGGTGTTATGTAGGTCGCTTGACTCCTTTTGGCCTGTAATTCTGGTGGGGTTGTAATCACAATTTAAATCGCTAGAAAGAAATATTCCTTTTAAGGTAGATACCATGTGTAGTTGCAAAATTTTGGTAGAGACTGTTGCTGGGCAAGACTTTCTACAGTTTCATATCTATATCATGTTTTCTATCAGTATGCTTGTGTTATATATCTTGTTATAGTCTAAATTGTTGGAGCTGAGAAATACTATGATGTTTTCCATGTTGGTGTAATATCCAGCATCTTCCTGCTAGAAACTAAAAACATTTATTTTTGCCTTTTTGGTGGTATTATCCATTCCAACTTATGAACTGAACAGCTAATATATCTCCATTCTCACTTGTACTGCATTTTGCCTTTCTGCTGATCCTGTTTCTTTCTTCTCACTTGTTGCTTGAAGTATACTGCATCTGCGGTCCCTGCTCACGTGTATCACATCCTTCGATTAGTTGGTGTAACATCAGGATTTCAGTTCATTTGATTCAGCGTTTTTTACATTATTAGGCCAGTCACAATGGGGGTTTCACTGGTGTGTCATGCACATTTAATAGGGGTAAGACTGAATAAAAAATGATTATTTGCATGAAATGGGGATGAGAGAGAAGGAAAGAGTTTCATCCTGGTGAAACTCGTCAGCGTCGTTTCCAAGTCCTCGGTAACAGAGTGAAACCCCCGTTGAGGCCGATTCGTTTCATTCACCGGATCTCTTGCGTCCGCCTCCGCCGTGCGACCTCTGCATTCTCCCGCGCCGCGCCGGATTTTGGGTACAAATGATCCCAGCAACTTGTATCAATTAAATGCTTTGCTTAGTCTTGGAAACGTCAAAGTGAAACCCCTCCACTGTGGGGATTGTTTCATAAAAGATTTCATTTGAGAGAAGATGGTATAATATTTTGGGTAGCCGTGCAATGACACTAGCCATTGTGACTGGCCTTATAGAATCAGTTCTATGCTATCTGCTTTAGCATAATCTGCTTTTCCATTGGACCGGGAACAGCATACTTTGGCATCGTTGTCAGTGCTGGCCTGGCCATGCATAGACCATTTGTGTCATGAGAGACATTTGTTCTAAGACTCCTACCTTAAAACTCCATGTAACTTTGATCCACATTCGCTTCTGACTTTATATCATGAGAAAGTTAATCATTCTTCCATTTTTGGGCTGGTTCATTTCAGGACATTTTTATTTATGCTGATTCAGACATCAACTTGGTGATCATAGAACATTTGAACATTATCATGAAAAATTTTAATCATTCTTCCATTTTTGGGCTGGTTCATTTCAGGACATTTTTATTTATGCTGATTCAGACATCAACTTGGCGATCATAGAACATTTGAACAGTAATGCATGTTTGCATGCATGGAGAATCTTACAGAGATAAGGCAAGCAGGTGACAATTCCTTGTGATTTTTCATCATACCTCTTGTGGTCTTATATTGTGAGACTGATCTGATCTCACTGAAGAAGAATATGTTCTCCTGGCACAAATGTCAGTCAATCCTTTCTGCTAGGATGGAGATAGATGCCTTTTTTTCTGCATTTTTCCTTTTGCGATTACATGAAAGACGTCTACGCATACAGACCACACGGACTGCCATTCGCGAGTACACCCCTTTAACATATGCTCAAGAGTCACACTCATGTATGAATGATCGTAGATATTATGATTTGATCTTGATAAATGGAGTCATGCACCTACAACTCCGCTAACATATCCTTTTTGGGATCAGAAGCCAAAGAGGGTCCATCTTTTATAGAAAGCAAGAACTACATCAATATATCAAAGGTGTTTATCCTATTTCTTTTTTGCAAATTGGAGGACAAGAGAGTGGCAAAAAAAAATCTTGCAGGTATGTCAACTGCAGAGTCTCCTCCTCTGGATTCTTGATGGACGCAACATCTGCCGAATCGTGTTCTGTTCACTTCCAAGAATGTGCAGCCAATTAGCTGCAACGGCCTTCCCTTTCTTTCTCTCCCTTTTTCGAGGCTCAAAAGATGTTCGAGAAAACTCTAGCTCGCTTTTTGCTCGTACGTTCAAAATACGGTGCATCTCTCTAAATATAAATTTCAATCTAATGGCAGGCAGGCTTGGAGCTGATTGTGATCTGTCCTGCTGGTGATTATCACTCATGTGTTCTCTGCTAGATTCTGAATTTTGTGGCCATAACGCGTTTTCATTCTAGAAAGGATGTTTGGATGTCGAAATTTCTTTGCTTGGTGCCTTCTATTTTGAATTCAAGTTAAACTAAATTCTAAAGATTTAATTCGATATGGAGGGCAATTTGATATGGTCAAAACCTGTTGAAGCTTCATAGTACACCACAGGTGAGTTGATCCAGTTTAAGCTGAAATCAAAAGCAGCTTTAGTGCACTTTTTTCACGAAAATTTTGACTAAGAGGGTTGATTTTAGCATTCAGTAAAGATATTCTGCATACGAATACCCACGGAAATCTGAAACTTTGAATTCAAAAGATTTGAGACCATGGAAAATTGAAGCCAGAGTACAAACAACCTTTTTAGAGAAGATAGTTCAGAAAATTAAATAATGTTTAATCGATTAATAATCGAACATTCACGATGGACTGATGGTGTGCGCACTATGCTAACCAACTTCCAATTGATCGTCCAATTAGTGCGTGTCGGATACAGGAGCAATTATTATAATAAATCTTTACTCGATCACTAGAAATCTACATATATTAATCTGTAATTCTGTATGGACCATGCATAGCTAATTTTGTACTCCAGCAGAGGCACCAATAAGCATATAAATGTGAGATTTTATTCAAATTTTTAATAGCAGTCCTATTAATTAATGTTTGTAGGCACCATTTTACCTGTCATGGAAAAGAAGGTTCATCCCACAATCTATATGCATGTCCTCATCAGACTTAGACTTGCTAGAAAGAGATTAATTATGACCTGCTGGTTAATTAATAAAAGGACTCACTGGTGGCTACTGGCTAGCTAGCTAGGATGCAATCTAGTTTTGAGTATAATTAAGTTGCTATGGCTCATGTTCCTCTCTAGCTAGCTGCAGTTAAATATATATGATATACCGGTCATGTGGTTGACCAGGAGATTACCCACTAAAATTCTGGAGCTAATCATGGTCTAGTTCTCATCATGGAGTTATTGTGGCTAGAATTAATTCCATGCTAGCTCAACAACTGTCAAAAAAAGGGAAATTAAACAGATGCGTTTGAGTGTTATAGCTTTTTAATTACTTATTAAGCGTGATGATAGTATCCACCGACCACTGTAACTAGATTAGAGCTAATTTAATAAGTAGAGTTAACTATTAATTATAAGTTAATTTAAAGTAGAACTAGAGCTAAAATGTATAATTATAATAGATTATTTTTTCCTCTCTTTTTCTCTACTTGTATAATTAATGCATTTGCTTAAGAGCATTTGTAGAACTAACTCTTAAATGAGAAGTAGCACAGTAACACTCTATATTTTTATTCTCTTTCATATAGATTAATCAGTTGGCTTATAGCTTACTATTAAACTTGCTCTTTCATATAGATTAATGAGTTGGCTTATAACTTACTATTAAACTTTCATATAGATTAATCAGTTGGCTTATAGCTTAATATAAGTATTTTACATGAGTTTTAGCAGAGATTATTGTTAAAATGAAATTACTTTGATGTCCCACGATACAATAATAAATAAAGAAAATCATAACTGTTGGTTGGATAAATAGGAAATTAGTACTTATAAATGCTAGTATTTGCAGGCAAATTTCAAAAGTTAGACGTCACATTTGTGGATGGAGAGAACACTACTGTACTGTGTGCGCATCGATCATCTTGTCCCAATCGAGTACTTGTGCAACAATTATAATTATTCTTCCATTTTAAATTACTTATTGTTCTAAGTTTATTATCCCAAGTTAAACTTTTTAATCTTTAATCATCAATTTCTATAAACTCATATAGTTTTATATCATAATATTTATATTGTTATATTCACCTTAAAAATACTTTATAATATATAATTCATGTGTTATTAAACTACACTACAAATTTAATGGTAAAAATAAATATGTTTGACTTAGGATAATCTAAAATAACCAATAATTTAAAACGGAGAAAGTGTACATTAAACCATTTACAACTACTGTAAGGTAGTCTCACGCTACCAATTCTAATATATACACTACTAGTTCGGTGCACTAATTCAATAGTAGCATGTATCTCAGTCTTACCATATCTTGAACTTTATCAAAGGTTGCCACATCTTGTGTTAGATGTTTGACTTTATCCTCTTGTTTGGTTCATACTTGTGGAAAGATTCTCTCTTATTTTTTATGGTCTTATATATCTACAATTCTATTTTGTTAGTTAAGGTGTGTCTCACTTTTTGCTAGCTATATACATCTTAAACAAGTGTGGCATAAAAGTATGACAAATGGTGCAAAACTTATTAGAGGACGTTTGGATGTATATCAAAGTATGGCAAATGATGGCAAACATAGTATCCGAGCTAGCTCTTGTATGCTTGACAGTATGTGACCTATATTGTTTCTCTCTTGTCGTCAACTCAAGTTACATATCATCTTTTTTGCACCACATAGCACAATAATAGATCATAGCCTATGTACATCTCAGTTGTATAAAGGAATAATTGTGTTATCTCGATGTAATTTATGTAATTATCTACGATCAGTAAAGTTTTTTTTAATCTAAAGTAATATGGTACTATTATAAGTGGAGCATTTTGAATAGTTTTGCATGTTGCTAATTTATCAAACACCACACGGTAGGATATTCATTGCTTGACACTGAATTATTGTAATTCTGATGTGATTATTTAATAAGTCTTCCCCTGTGTATTACTCTCTCCGTTTCACAATGTAAGACTTTCTAGTATTGTCCACATTCATATACTTGTGTCTAGAATCTAGAATCATTAACATGTATATGAATATGGACAATGCTAGAAAATCTTACATTATGAAATGGAGGGTGTACTAGCAAAGTGGAATAAACTAGTGCTCAATTGCTTCAACCTGTTGGAAAATATGCAGATAGTGGTGACCTTTTTTCTTGTTTGTTAGTAAACGATATCGTCTGGCATTCAACAAAATTTGGACTGAATCCACCATAACTCATATTAATTGCTATGAAAATCCTACAGTAAATTTCACATTGAGTCACCTTTTATTACTGATG